CTGGCCAAGCGCAAGACGCTTTTTGACGATCGGCCCGTCGAGTTTGACGAGCTCACTTTTGTCATCAAGCAAGATATGACCGCCCTGTCAGGCCAGGTGCAGGCTCTCCAACAGATGAACTCCAAGCAACACCCCAAGTCGAAACCTGGTGTGGATCAAGAGGGAGAGCACAACAGCAATGTCGTGGGACTGCTAAAAGACAAACTACAAAACGTGGGAATGAACTTCAAGGATGTCCTCGAAGTGCGGACAAAGAACATGCAGGCATCGCGGTCGCGCACCGAACAATTTCTGTCAACAGCTGCCCAGCAATCCCACAGCAGCCTCGAGCCAGGCAGGACCGATTCCCCGTTATACCAAACACCCCAGCGAGGCCGCTCTCCCGGAGGTTTTGGCCGCAATACTAGCGCAGTGCAGCAAGACCTGCTCTCGCTCGAGCCTTCCGGTTCGTCGGCTCTGACGCGAGGCGGTCCCCAATCGGATGCACAGATGCTGCTGATGGAAGAAGCTCAGCCCCAGAACGCATACATTCAAGAGAGAGGACGGGCAATCGAGTCGATAGAGTCTACCATTCAAGAGCTAGGAGGCATCTTCAGTCAGCTCGCCCAGATGGTATCTGAACAAGGAGAGCAGATCCAGCGTATCGACGCCAACACTGAGGACGTTGTAGACAATGTCGAGGGTGCCCAACGCGAATTGATGAAGTACTGGAGCCGTGTGCAGGGTAACAGGTGGCTTGTTGCAAAGATGTTCGGTGTGCTAATGATTTGTACGTGTCTTCCATCTCCAATGCATGATCAGAAAGCTAACAAGGCGCAGTCTTTTTACTCTGGGTACTCATTTCCGGATAGATTTGCGCTTCAATGTTATGGCATGTTCCGGCGTTCAGGAAGACTAGAGGCACCATCACCAGCTCGGTCTGGCATCGTCCTGGTAGAGAAGCTGTTGCATACAACGCTGCACTCTTTTTCACTTGTATCTATACTTTTTATCGTTTGTTCCTTTTGTACCTACGCTCCCATGAACACCATTACGTCATGAGCAGGCCGGTTAAGTCACTATTAATGAAGCTTATTTCTCTTTCACGTGCAACACCTTGAGACTTTTTATCCCGAATGTGGGGGTCTATGTATCCAGTAGCCCGATCCATGTCTGTGCACTATCCGATCTTCACTTGCGGGCCTTGGCTGCATATGTACAACATGCGGGTCGGTACATGGTCGCTTAGAGTAGTAGCAGCATCATTGCGACGATGCTCGGAATGGACAGCTTTTATTCTTTTGTGAATTTGAACATGTCTTCAACAGAGTGCTGTGACGGGTGCACATCTGCTTTTGCTCGACGGGAGTACGCGCCGAAGATCATCACCACCACATGCGTCATCGATCAAGGCAACGGTGCGATCGACCATGGGATGAAACCAAACTGCGCGGTTATCCACATTTACGGCTGCTCGCTGTGGAAAAGTCTTTGCGCCGTATCACCAACGTCGCAAAGAAAGTACATATGACCGGTGACTCAAGGATGCCCCCAATGTCCGCCGCTAGTATGTACATCAGCGCGACCAGTCTTGACGTCGGAACGGGTGGGAACTAAGCTGCAATGCCGAAGCTATACGTCAATCACTTGGTGAACTACCGGGTAAGTACTCCGGCTACACCGCTATGAGTCGTAGGAAGACGGTTGACAGGCGCCGAACTATGCATGCCACCTCCAGGAGAGGCCGGAGGTGATAACAACGGTTGTTAGATCGTCACTAGGTCGCCCCATTGGCGGTGCGAAAGCTGGGAAGTGCGACATGACGAAAAGAACGGCGCAACATCGGCCGGATAGCTGCGTTAGTTTGACGGGCGCAAACTCATTAGCGGCCTTGAACAGATGTCATTTTGGATTCGGGCGAGTGGGATGGCATGCAAGCGACATGCTGAATGCAGCATCAGCAGATGATCCACCTGCTGCAGAGTGGGCGTGTGGGCGTCTTCTATCTCACTAGCGCCCTCTCCTTCCATCCGTATGTCAACCACACTCTCACACCGACTTGCGACCTCGACACCTGATCCGCCCTGTTTCTGCTGCACCCCTCCGTTAGTCGCCCAAGATTGTGTGTGCCGGCCCTTGCGCCTCTGACGCCTCTGTCCTACGCAAAGAGACACAACCCCTTCGCCGCCGCCCGCATGTCTTGGTAGCGAACTCTTGACATCAACCAACAGGCAAGTGCATGCGCGCTCCGGCGCAATGCCCGACCGCATATGGGACGAAACCGCCGCCCTCGGCACGGCTCCCATATTCGACGATGCTGTCTATCTCTCCGAAGCCCTGGGCCTGCCTATGAATCAGAATGAAGACCATCTCGACGCTGAGTTGGCCCTGCTTGCTCGCGAATCCGGTATCCCGGATCCTTATCGCTTCGTACCCCCGCCCAAAACCATTTCTCGTGCAATCTCGACTATGACGTTGGACAGCGATCAGAGGAGTTCCCGCTCAATTCACTCCCAGGAAACACAGTCAACAAGCTTCACCTCGGCGCCTTCCCGGACATCAAGAGACCATCTATTCTCTAGCGACGGCTCAACCACGAAGAGAGTGCCCGCAACGCTTCCACAGCCTACATGTATTGTCGAGAACACTAAAACCGTCGCTGAACGTCCTGAGTGTGACTTCAAGTCAAGGCAATCATCGACACTGTCCATCGCTCCTTCTGTCGTTTCTAGCTCGACATCGTCACGGCAAGCGCACTCGCGGAAGAAACGTAGCTCCGCCATCTTCTCCATGTTCCGAAGAGACTCGGGGTATGTCAGGGTCAGTGAATATTGTAATCCTCTTGCTAAAATCTTTCCAGTAGCACTTGCACTACGTCGGCCTCACACCATGGACACCACAGCAAGCCACGAGGCGCAAAGCTGGCATGCGGTCACACGTTGTCTGACTACGATATCCGCGCGCATATACAGGAGGCGTCAAAGAGAGGCTCACATGTTATGCCCGAGTGCTGTGGAAGCGTAATACCGCGCTCAGTATTGGAGATCGTTCAGACGAAAGAAGAGACTAAGCCTGCTATGGATCATGCTGTCGACCTGTCCGACTCCGCTTTCCGTGACTCTGGCTATTGTGAGATCGCAATATCAACTGCCGACCCGCCACATCCAACCAAGAATCTTTCAAGTTCAGAAAAGCCTTCCGCTTTGGCGCAAGTCCCAGCCAGACGCAGCCGGCACGAGGCGATCAATATTGACTCAGCGTTGGCGAACGAGGCTTTCAAGAGCTTCAGGACACAACAAAAGGAGCAGTTTGAACGTGTTTCTTCTTTCGAGTGCAATCAGAGAAAAGCTTTGTCAACGTACCATCGGTGCTCGATGGTGCTTCTAGAGGCGCAATATAGGATCAAGAGAGAGGAGCGAGCTGAAAAGGTATGTGTGAATCGAACTATCGTGATACATGTCAGATGACTAAACCTCTGCAGCACAACGAGGACCTCGAGCGGCTAGAAGAACGACAGCTCCTCGCTGAACATGACCTTCTGAAAGCGCAATCCCAGGAAACACAAAACGTAGCAACAGCATTAAAGTATATCGAGGCTTACTGCTTGGGTACAAGAAACGATGAGGAGCGCGCGCATACTGTGTCAGAAGAAGACTTCAAGAAGCTAGATCGTCAAAGAATGATTCAACAGGATCTCCCAAGAAAGCACGCGAGTGCGATCAATGTCTTACGGGCAAGGCAAGAGCTGGACACAAAACGAAGGATAGAAACGCAGGAAGCAGAGCTGCAACAACTACTTGTAGATCATGAAAATGAAAAAATCAGGAAAGAGGCTGAATATCAGAAAGAGTTGGAGAGGCTTGACGCAGTCATTGAAGTGAGACGAAAGAGGCTGTTGCAGAGGTGGGATCTCAAATTTGAGATGTGGCGACGAGACTGGGAAGCGCAACACAACACGACTCTGACGGCGGAACTCGAACATGAGGACTGGCCGTCTCGCAAAGCGGATCATGCCATTTCCATACCCGAAGCAAGTTCGCTTGCTCGATATGTCAAGGCTGCAGCTTGAGGCTGCGACATGTCTTCCCCTCAGGTTCTCGTACATATTCTTTCTCAGATTCCGCTTTTGATGTTACCAAAGTGGCTTCACTCTGGGCGTCGTCATCATTGTTGTTATCGTCTTACAGCGTGGCGTTATATCGGGCACAGGCGCCGACATGGAATCATCTTCCATTCTTTGCTGCATTGGCGGGTTTGTATCTTCGCGACTATATACCCCTTTGCGCACACGAACACGCGTTTCCTCCATCTTTTTCTCGGATATAATATGCTAGATTCCGCATGTAACAGACCAAAAATCTCGTTTGGTTGGATAGCTAGATATACAATGTTATGTTGTACTGAAACTCCGTCGACGACGAAGCTTGAGATCACTACACCACGTTCCGGGTCCCAGTTGCGTAGTGACCCAGACTTTTGGGTGCAGAGAAGGCTCACCCTGACAGTTGGGAACATCTTTTGGGTGGGGTGCAGGCGGCCCAAGCTCCAGACTGTCTGCATAAGCTGCTACGAGCGAGGTGGTGGTGTGGTAGTCTAGACGGACTAGTGTTAGCAAGCCAGTCGCTCGGAGCAGCTCTCCGCCCTTGCGGAGCATTTTCCCGCCCCTACGGCGATTAAATAGCGAACGAACGTCGTTCACTAGAATCGACGGCTTGGCATGAAGCTGACCGAAAGAGGAAATATGCGTTTATTATGCTATGGTGTGAGTATTGGTTCCCGCAGGCATGTGCGAAAGATGGCTTTTTTTTTCTGACATAACATTGTGAACTGCAAACAGAATTCATGGCGTCATTGCGAGGGTAGCAGAAGAGAGTTGCAAGTAATCGAAAATGTAAGATTGCTATATGGGTATCATGCTAGATCGTAACTCGTAGAAACATCACTATCCTCCAGACAGCCTTCCAAAATGCCCATTGGCTTTTGATGCCGGTCGTGCAGCAGTCGCGGCCGACGATAAAATCTCAGCCCCGAGTGAGATCGCTGTTGTATTGCTCGACTGGAGCTAGCATATCCCATTGCAAGCCCTCTTGGGCATCCATAGCTGGTGGCAGATGATCCAAGCCCATTGCTACATCCATCTCATTATCGTCCTTTAGAAGTGAGAGCTGATCGAACTGCTGGTCAAAGAAGCCATGATGTGCATCCATGGCCTTAGGATCAGGGTAAGGTAGCACGGAGGTGTTACCTTCCATGAAATATTGAACCGGCGTCTCTGGCATGCTTGGCGTAACAGAGTCGAACATATTCATCGAATCATCGAAACCACCAATCCAGAACTGTCCTCCACTAATGGCGTCACGCTCTTGAATCATCTCCTCAATCTCATCCTCGGGGATGTTGTGTTCGGCGAGCAGATGACGTCGTAGATCACGGTCCATGTAGAAGCGATACTCACATGTCTTGACCAAACAAGGGATCTCTCGGCCTTGTTCATAGCCAACTCCAGTAAGCATGGTCAGCATCGAGGGCTCTGACTTCTTCTTTGACTTTGCAGCTTTTCGCAACTGTTTGCGGTTGCCGAGACCAAGGTGGTGTGTCCGTACGTGCTGATCGAGAGACGACTTCGCTTTGAAGGAAGCGCCGCATGCATTCTCGCCATTCCAGGCTTTCAGATCTGCGTGTTTGGAATTCTGCAGAGCATCTGATGTACACGAGTACTTGAATTGTTTATCGTGGACGGTCTGGATATGGACAGTGAGGTTGTGTTTCCGGTTGAAGACACTCTCACAGCCTAGTCTGGGACAAGCATACTGCGATTGTTCTTGTGGGTCGCCATGTGCTGTGTCGAAGTGCGTCTTTAGATTGGATGCAGTCTTGAACTTCTGGCCGCACTCTGCACACACAGGTGGGTGGCACTCACTCGTGTGCGCCTCTAGCTCTTCTTTCGTAGCGAATGACGGAAGTTGCGCGGGAACTGTGACTGTTTCCCCAGACTCGGTCTGCATTGTTTCCGGTTCCGTACCAGTCACGCATAGCATGCAGAAGTGACCCTGCTCTTGCGTGTATGCGTGTGCCCTTTGCATATGCCGCTGCAATGCTCCCTCAGTCTGAAAGCCACTCGTGCATCTCTCGCCTGTCTCTTCATCCACACGAGGGCAGGTGTAGGGCTTGACTTCCAGGTGCTGACTCTTGATATGTGCCTCTAACGCCTTCGCCTTCCTGAACGCTTCGTTGCACGGTGGAAAGTCGGTGCAGTAGAACTTGGACTCGTGGACGTCTCGATGCCTCTGGAGCCTGCCATTGGAGGTGAAACTCTTGCCACACCCATTCCAATCGCATGTGAACGTTCGCTCGGTTGCCGGGTCGCTATGGGCGTTCTTTAGGTGGCGCTGTAAGTGGTCTTTTCGTGGAAACGTCTTGTCGCAGCCGGGCTCGGTGCAGACGAACGGTCGCTCCTTGTTGTGACTTCGCATGTGCGTCTCGAGGCGACATGGTCGGTTGAAGCGTTGCGAGCAGGTTGGACACACATAGTTCCAAGCGCGGCGAGCCTCGCTCTCAGCCCTTAACGTGCCGTTGTCGGTGTAGTTGACCTTGTAATCGGTTGAATCGTCTGAAGCATAATCCTGCTCGGCAGTCTTCTCCGCAGCACCTCCGGGAATGTTAGCTTTTGGTGACAACGTCATGGTGGTTGGGTTGTCATACCTTTGCGAGACCTCTTCTGCGGCAACGTTCCAATGTCCTCTGTGGGTTTCCGTTTCGGAGCCATAGCGATGCCTACAACTTGCGGGTTGTTTATGACAAGCGGCTCAAGGATGCGGAGAACCATGGACGATATTCAAGGTCCACTGTATTTTTCGGACGCCAAGAGTTCTTGCGCTAGCGCCGACGCCGACGCCGACCCCTGCGATTTCTGATCGCGAACTTTCTTTACCGTCGCATCGCATCAGGCATACACAGTGCACCCCATCTTTCACGCGTAATCCTCCACACAACTTCACAAGACACACCTACGCATAAACCCTACATCGACTGCAACAATGTCCGACTACGGCGGTGACGACTACGATGGCGGTGCCGGTGATGTGTATGTTGATTCTATCTCCATGCTTCCTTCACCAGGTGCACTACTTGGAGTCTGGCAGAAGATATTCCAACATAGTCTAACTTGAACAGCGACGAGCCTCTCATCGAGTTCGACGAGGAAGCCGAGCCCGATCTCATGGACGACGAAGACGACCAGCCTGGCGGTGGTGAAGACCCAGACAACGCCGACCCCAACGACGACAACGTAGTAGTATCAGGCGATGCCAACGCGGCTGCTGCTGCCAAAGAAGCATCCAAGAACACAGTCACGAGCGAAAAGGACAAGAAGGTTCCTAACGACAAGCGCACAACCACTCCATACATGACAAAGTACGAGAAGGCGCGTGTCTTGGGTACAAGGGCGCTTCAAATCAGGTAGGCTACAGCTTGACGAAAGGAAGGCGCGCAAAGACTAACAACGTCGCAGTGGTAACGCTCCGGTGTTGATTGACGTGGAAGGAATGACCGACCCTCTGCAGATTGCTGCGAAAGAGCTGCAAGAGAAAAAGATCCCGCTCGTTGTACGGCGGTATCTGCCTGATGGATACTACGAGGACTGGACTTGTGAAGAGCTTCTGACATGAGATATTGAGTGTTTGGTTGCATCTGATAAGGAGTTTTGTTTGGCTAAATATGGGGCATATCGGCGAAAGGAGTCTCTAAGTGGTTGCGCAATTATATCCCGAATCTCACCCGATCTCCGTTAACTCCAAGCCTTGTCCGTTGCATGTGCGGATCCGCGGATAACATTCCTGTAACAAGCCAAAAGTCTAGAGGAAGGTGGGGTAGCTTGACATAGCTATTTGTCCCCGCACTAATTCCAGGCACAACGTCACCCAATGCGCCTGCTCACAAAACTTCCAAGGGCCCCTCGACTTGTATCTGCATTTCAGCCTCCTACACGATTCTCCCGCTATTCCACACTGTCCAATATGTCTTTCGAAACCACAGGTACCATTGCCTCCTTTGGGGGCAAGCTTCTCAAGTTGAAGCACAAGTCCGAGAGCACAAACACAGACATGGAGCTTAACATGTTCCTACCTCCGCAAGCACTCAAGTCCGGAGCCAAGGTCCCCGTTCTGTTCTACCTCTCTGGACTCACATGTACCGGCAACAACTGCTCAGAGAAGGGCTTCTTCCAGCACGGCGCAGCTAAGCACGGCATTGCCGTCGTATACCCCGACACATCACCAAGTGCGTCTTTTCTGTGAATTCAAGTTCCGAGTACCCGACTAACCCACTGGCTAGGAGGTCTTCAGATCGAAGGTGAAGATGAAGCATACGACTTTGGATCTGGCGCAGGCTTTTACGTCGATGCCACCAAGGACCCATGGTCGAAGGGCTACAAGATGTACTCTTACATCACCAAGGAGCTTCCTGAAGCGTTGTTCTCATCCTTCAAAGAACTCGACTCGAGCAAAGTCAGCATCACAGGGCACAGCATGGGTGGTCACGGCGCATTGACATTGGTCGGTCTACTGTAAACCTGTTCCAAAGGACTTCACTAACAATCAACGATAGTTCCTCAAGAACCCTGGCATGTACAAGTCCGTCTCCGCATTCGCCCCTATCGCCAACCCTATCAACTGCCCGTGGGGTCAGAAGGCATTCAAGGGATACTTTGGCGAAGACCAGCAACAAAAGTGGAAAGAGCACGACGCGTCAGAGCTGGTAAAGCAATGGAAGGGTCCTCTGGAGGTGCTCATCGACGTGGTGCGTATACCAAAAGACAGTGCTAAAGTATGTTACTGACTAGGCCAGGGCACCGGAGACAACTTCTACAAGCAAGGCCAACTACTTCCAGAGAACTTCGTCAAGGCAGCTAAGGAATCTGGCAACGACAAGGGCATTCAACTACGTATGCAGCCCGACTACGACCACAGCTACTACTTCATGGCTACATTTGCCGATGACCACGTCGAGTGGGCGGCGAAGCATCTGAACGCGTAGTAAGTCGGCTTGACGACTGTTATCACTGCAGACTGCTCACTACGACAGAAGCGGTTCGGGTATCAGAGAGAAACTATAGAACATAATAGAATCCAATTCGTACACATGTTGCAAAATTTTGCTGCCGTATTGGTGATCACATGTCCTGCTGATGCCTACTCTTTTAGGCACCAAAATCTTGTGTATCAATTATGGGGAGATCGACGTAATGGGCTATGGAAGCTGTCGACATAGAGTAGTGATGAAGAACACATTTCATTTGCAGAGTTGATTCTTAGTATGACGCAACGTACGTAAAGGCTGCCAATCTCGCACTGTCTTATTGACAGGTCTACAATGTCGGTGAAATACTCACCGAGCAGGCTGCCATTCCAAAATCAAAATCTCGTGCGCACGTGTCACTCGATCAAATTGGGCGTGCGGACATCCCACCATGGACTCTTGGCGCTGCCACTTCAGTCACTGCACAGCTGTTTTTGCTTCCCACGCCTCGACAAAGACGCAGAACCACTTTTGCTTTTTTCTTCCGCCAATCTGATTGTGTAGAGTACAGAACCTAAAGCTCTGACCGTAGTTTCTTTCACGCATAAACCCTTGCACACGCCGTACGTCAGCCCCTCGTGCCCCGCCTCTGCCTTCACCGCTGTAACGCTTCCACGATGCAGTCTCCCGCGCTTTGCTCCATGATTCGGTAGCACACCAATCTAGTTCTTGTTCCACTCCATCACGTCCGATGTACTCTTCATAGCCTCAACCACATCGACGACGCAAGCTGTGACTCAACGCTGCTTGCTCAGCTCTGAAAACACGACAAAATGGAGAGCCAGGTACGCATGGCTGTTTCCTCTCTTTGATCATGTACTCACGATTTTCAAGGTCGAAAATGCCATACAAATCGCAGCAAACCCGACGTCGAGCCAGGAACTACGCGGCCAAGCTATCGAATACTTGAACCAGCTCCGCGCAGAAGGCTCCGCATGGCAAGCCGCCCTCACACTCTTCGCGCGCGACCCTCGCCCGACCGACTTCGTCCGTCATACTTCACTCGAACTCGTAAACAATGCCATCCAAGAGCATCGTCTGGATGAGCAGAGTCTTGCATACATCAAGGATACCCTGATGGGTTACATCCACGCATCCTACGTACCAGGCAGTGGAGCTGCAGACACAAGCCACATTCAGAACAAGCTCATGCAGACTGTCACTTATCTTTTTGTAGCACTATACCCTTCTTCATGGCAGTCCTTCTTCGACGACTTCCGGTCCTTGGCTGGCGACCAGTCCACCATCGGGAACGTCAACACAGCAACGACTTTGCTGTACCTGCGTATGCTCGGTCAGGTTCACGATGAGATTGCCGATCAGTTAGTCGCCCGACCAGACGACGAGAAGAAGCGCAACACAGAATTGAAGGACCTCATTCGACAACGAGACGCGCAGAAGATCTCATTATCCTGGCAAGAAATACTCGCAAAGTGGAGGGAGACAGACTTGAATCTCGTGGAGATGTGCCTCAGGACCATTGGGCGCTGGGTCAGCTGGACGGACATCAACTTGATCGTCAACCAAGCTATGATCACAACCTTCCTGGAAATGGCGGGTCAGCAAGGAATCGGCGACCCCGAGAGCGCCGCTGGAAAGGTGCGCGATGCTGCAATCGATACTTTTTCGGAAATTGTGGGCAAGAAGATGAGTCCAGCGGACAAGATCGAACTGATCACTTTCCTGAACCTCTCCGAAGTCGTTGGTCAGCTCATCAGCAGTCCAGCTTTGGCCGACTTCAACAGCTCGAATTACGACAACGATCTTGCCGAGACCGTCGCTAAGCTCGTAAACAACATCGTATTCGATATCGTAAAGATCTTGGAAAACGAAGCTGTCGAAGAGCACATCCGGCAACGCGCAGACGATCTCATTCGCATCTTCACTCCCTACCTTTTGCGTTTCTTCGCCGATCAATACGACGAAGTCTGTTCGACTGTCATTCCATCTCTCACAGATCTTCTTACGTTCCTTCGCAAATTGCAAAAGAAATCTGGTTCGATACCTCCACAGTACGCCGCAGTACTGCCACCCGTTCTGGATGCGATCATCGCGAAGATGAAGTACGACGAGACAGCTTCATGGGGTGAGGAAGGTGAGCAGACAGACGAGGCAGAGTTTCTCGATCTCCGGAGACGCCTCCACGTTTTGCAACAGACAGTGACCGCCATTGACGAACCCTATTACATCGAGACCCTTAGCCGCTTAGTCAACGGAACATTCGGACGCTTATCTCAGGGAGATCAGTCGCTCAACTGGCGCGATCTCGAATTGGCCCTGTACGAAATGTACTTGTTCGGAGAATTAGCAGTCAGGAACCAAGGGCTGTACGCGAAACGCGAGCCATCATCTGCCGCAGCTCAGCAGCTTGTGACCATGATGAACAGCATGGTTGAATCTGGTCTAGCAAACTACCCACACCCCGCCGTTCAGCTACAGTATATGGAGATCTGCGTTCGTTACTACCAGTTCTTCGAACAGAATCCTAACCTCATTCCCAAGGTCCTGGAGAACTTCGTCAACCTTACCCACAGCCAACATGTCAAGGTTCGCTCGCGATCTTGGTATCTTTTCCAACGCTTAGTCAAGCACCTACGGGCTCAGCTAGGCAACGTGTCCTACGACATTATTCAGGCGGTTGGAGACTTGCTCACAATTAAGGCTGAACTTCCTGATACTTCAGAAGACGAGATGTCGTCTGACGAGGAAGATCAGTCGGCAGATGCACTTTTCAACTCGCAGTTATACCTGTTTGAGGCCGTGGGCTGCATCGCCTCGTCCAACACTGTTTCCGTGGAGAACAAGAAGCTTTACGCACAGACTATCATGAGTCCTCTGTTCAACGACATGCAGCAAACTCTTCCTCAGGCGAGGAATGGCGATGAACGGGCTATACTCCAGATCCACCACATTATCATGGCCATAGGGACGCTAGCTCGAGGCTACTCTGATTGGGTGCCATCAAACAACAACAGCGCCGTACCACAGAGCGAGGTGGCAGAAGAGTTTGTGAAAGCATCTGAGGCTATTCTCGTGGCTGTCGAATCCCTCAACTCCTCAGGGTCTATTCGTCACGCTGCGCGTTTTGCTTTCTCACGCATGATTGCTGTCCTTGGTTCGCGTCTACTACAACAGCTGCCCTCTTGGATTGAAGGACTTCTGTCCCTCAGTTCCTCTATGGACGAGATCAGCACGTTCCTCAAGGTCCTAGGCCAGGTCATCTTCACTTTCAAATCAGAGATCGCTGGTATCTTGGATACCGTTATGAGTCCAGTATTGCAACGCATTTTCACAGCATTGGCGGTCGTCCCTTCAGGCACAGATGATGAGATCCAGCTGGCTGAGCTTCGTCGAGAGTACCTAAACTTTATTGTTGTGGTTCTCAACCAGGGTCTCGGATCTGTGTTCGTTAGCAATGGTAAGCCCAATTCATCGAGCAGATATAGTAGCACTGCTAATATTGTGTAGCGAACCAAGCGACTTTCGAGCCTATAATCTCATCCATCGAGACATTCGCTCGCGATACACACGACTACCCTACCGCACGCCTCGCTATCTTTGTGCTTATTCGTATGGTCTCAGTGTGGGGTGGGCCTGACAAGGTTGGGCCCGGCGCGAACGCTACACCCACATCTCCCGACACCGCTCAAGCACCATTGCCAGGTTTCGACAACTACGTCGTAGACAAGTTCTCCCCGTTAGCATGGTCGATACCGGCATCGCCAGGGTTCAACTCTAAAGATGCGCAGGCTAAGCAGGTACTGTTCGAGACTGCCAACCTGCAACATGAGATCATCAAGAAGGTCGGCGAGTCTTATGTAGATCGCCTCAAGAGCGATCTCGGTGGCATGGGAGTGGGCGACGATGGTGCGGACCAGTACCTGCGCACTCTTGCCGGCTCATTTGAAGGACCGAAAAAAGAGAAGGAATGGCGTAACTTCTACGTCCAGTTCGTGGATCGCATGCTTGCAAGCCGAGGGTAGGTTGTGAGTTCTAGTTGGGATCTGAGGAATAGTGTGGAGATGGGATTCATCAGCGGGTTTGGCGTAACATTTGTCCATCATGTAGGCGGCATCATTCTGCATCGTAGCGGGCGCCAAAAGGATTGGCATCGAGTTTGATTTCCGTGATAACCCCCAGTAGTTAGCTCGCATTTCGTAGTGGAGCTTTGTTACAAAATAAATTTTTCATCATTGTATATATTCAATGTTCGCGATCTTTGGCTATGTTAGTATGTTACAATGTCGTTGGCGTATATTGTGGTGAGGCACCCCTCAAGAGACGCGATTGTACGCGACAAGGTCGCGGTTGCACTTCGGCCCCCACGCTTCCATCCTGACCTACGCCAACATTGCAGCATCATCATTGAGGTCGGCATCTTTCTAATGGCGCCTCGTCCCGTCCCGAGACTCCCATCGTTCCCTCAAGCAGCATAGCATGAACCCCGATATGCAGCGTGATTAATGGCGGTTACCCAGTTTAGAGTTGCTAGGGACCCGCCCAAGCGCTTCGAGTTTCACCCCCACCAACCGATTCGCCAGGAATGCACCCCTCGGGAAGCGCGCTCCTAATGAAGGGGAAAATGTGGAAAGTGTGCTTAGCGCCCATGTTGAGGATTCGCTATGCGACTACGCCGCAATGGATGGGTACATGCAAAGGCAAAAGAGGCGTCGTTCGCTGCGTGCGAACTATCAGCCTCAGCTTACCGGTATCTTACATCTCAGCGTCTTCGCCCGACGTTAGTACGGCTCTTTAGCATCTTACGCGTCACGGAGTGCCTCCGAGTCAGCGTCGGTAATCGCGATCATGAATGCCAACAAAGTTTCGCGATGGAGCCCTTTTCGTCGGCACGGATTGAGTGGACAGACAGCGGAAGTGGAAGAGAGGGATGATGCGCCTGCGAATGCGAGTACCACACCCGTGACCGGGGCGAATACGAAATCGAAACCGAAGACTTGGGAGACGACGGTAGAGAGAGTTGAGAGCTGGCCTGAGGAGGCTCGGCCACTGAAGAAACACACATGGCTCTCGTATCTATATGGCATCGGAGATCTCATACTGGTACTGCTACCAGTATACTTCATTCGTAGGTGGTCGATGCACTACGATCGCGCTAAACATAGCTGACAGCATGCAGTACTTGGGGTTGCAGTTATCGTGCTCAATGGAAAGCCTACTAAAGGATCTGACTTCGGTAAGAAAGTTGAGTTTGCCATGGATCTGGGTCCGACCATGTTTCCTATCGCTTTTGCAGCCATATGTGGAAGAAGTATGAAGATGATTGCTCGTTTCCGGGCAGAGAGAGGAGCCAAGATTAGTGTAAGATAGCGGGTTCCCACCTACTTATACCCCACCTGGATTCAAACGCTTGACTGACTTACGACCAGACTCTGGAATTACTCATGGCTAGTCAGTCCGTCTGGGGAACTGTCGAGAGCCAACTCAACATGCAGCGACTAACACTCGTCGGTATCAATCTGCTCTTTCTCTGGGCCTTATCACCACTTGGTGGTCAAGCTTCACTGCGGCTTATGACAAGACAGAATCGAGACAGCTTTACCGGTGCGAAGCTACGCTATATGACTACCGGTACTGGTGGAAGCATGTGGGGACTCGCTTCTACGTACGTTGGCAGTGGAAAGTTCGCTGATGCAGGTGCTCTTTACACAGCTGCACTACTGGCGCCCTTGGATACCAAAACTGGCCCCAGAGATCCATGGGGAAACGTCAAAATCCCAAACCTAGAGTATCTTAACAGCACTGCAACAGATGCGGAAGGCTGGATCACAGTTCCTGATATCAAAGAGCCAGAGATGTACTCAGCGCTTGTTGGGCTCCCCGTGGTTGGACTTCCTCGCACGGGCAAATCGAACTTCACGATCGAATCGACATATCTCACAGTAAAATGCGGCAATTTCAAACAATCCCCATATCCTGGAATCAACAATACAAACATGGGTAGGACAGATTTCGCTAAATTGGATGAGCTCGTCCCAGGCCAAGTGTGGCTTAACAAATCTCTAAACAACCCATTCAAGCCAGTCGAAGGCCGCATTACATCCTTCTTCATTGACACAAACCTTGCATCACCCTGGGATCAACAAGACCCAGAATATGATATGCTGCTAGGACGACTGGATGCTTTCTTTGGAAAATACAATAAAACCCGTCTCAACAATGAGCAAGCCGTGGAAGCACGACAGCTGACATACACGTCTGTCTATGCAACAACTCAGGATGATTCAGAATTTGGATTGAACATCGCGCGTTGCACTCTGACTCAAAACCATGTCGAAGCTATGGTCGACTGCTCCAGCGACCAATGTACAACCACAAAGGTCAGAAAATCACTATCAGACTTGCGTCCTTCAGCATTCACAGCGTTCGAGCATGGTTTGATCATGCAAGGTTTTGCACAACAATTCCCACTTGCAGTCACCTTCAATGCTGGGTCCAGTCCAACAGAGCGATACCTGGCGAACAGTTCTGCTTTTCCATTCATACAACAAGCCGGCCATATAATGCAAGATGTCAGCTATACCAACCTCTCTGTGATCGAACCCGGTCTATTCTCCCGAAGGTTGAGTTCGGCGATTAACACCTACTATCAACTCACAATCCAACCGACCGGATATTTTGGTAGTTTGTCTCGAAATCTATCACTATACGGACCAGATACGCTACCTGTCACCGACATCAACAAGTATCTACCGAGCGACTCCCCAGCTACGAACACCTCCTTCTTCGATTGGTATTCGGCATTCGAAGAAGGTGTCCAAAGTAGTGACTCTCCGTTCATAGGAGCGACCACCAATGCGAGGACGACGACGACAGAAGAAATATTTGTTGGCAACCCAGCATGGATTTCACTACTCATGGTTTCTTCGGTGACAGTTTTCACCATTGGGGCAACAGCGTTGTTACTTAAGCGCCGTACTCTTGGGCCCGAGCTTTTCGGTTTTGTCACAAGCATGACCTACGAAAATCCTTGGGTGAAGATTCCAAGTGGTGGGACCGGGTTAGACGCTCCAGAGCGCTCAAGACTCCTTAAGGATGTTCGGGTGCACATTGCTGATGTGCGCGGGAATGATGACGTCGGGCATATTGCATTTGCTGCTGGCGTACCATTGCGAAAGTTGGAGCGAGGACGCCTCTACTGCTGATTGCAACGGAAGCTCCATATCGCATGAATCAATACAACGCGCGCCAGTCCTCCTCCAGATAGGCCGTGGCGCAGCAAGCCGGCCCATCTTTCCAAAACAAGCATCACAGATCCCAGGAAGTGACCAGAAGGCCGAGAGGCTTTGGAATATTGCAGTTTGTCAAACAACAAATATCGTGCGATATATTGGCCTCACACACGCACCCTCATAGGTTGAAGAGACGGTATTCGAAACGATGGCATTGTTGCTCCCAACCGGCAATCACAAGCGACATCCAGAATCCCCACAGTCATAGCTGGCGCAGATCGTGATCGGCAAGCTCGCGCTTTCCGACAGCCAGTCTTGCACAGCGAATGGACGAAGGTGTGACAGACCCTGCGCGGCTTCAAGGAAGAATTCAAGCTTTGTTCCTAGGCGCGGTGGAGCAAGTAGCGGACGCCTTCAGCTTTTGGCGTCGAGAGGCTGTAAGCGGCTCACCAATGGGTCTGGCAATGCAGGGGTTGTTGGCTCGGAGGTGCGACGCAGCATAAAACACGCATGGGGTCCGGATCTTTTGCCGATGAGCTAAGCGACTCAGCCGCGACCAATGGTCATCCAGATGCAACATCGAAACGAAACCTCTCTCCTGAGGCCCTACACCGAGACATGGAGATCCTCGAGTCCACGTATTCGTCGCCTTCCCGCTTTGGCGTTGACGCATAACGTACCTGCGTCGGCTGTGCGCCGTTCTGGAATTCCCTTGGCTGAGAGCCTCAGCACACCCGGACCGCCCGTTTCATCCCGTAGACGCTCGCCGCTGTGGACCACCGATGTCTTCCACGTACCTTGTCCTGCGTTTACTCTGTCGCCCTCCAGGCTGCTCGTTTGATTAGGGGATCGTTCGAGGATACGCATTGTGGAGGGCCTGGTGGCGGTACACAATGGACATCGTACCCACCATGCAGATCGTGACACAGGTATAAGAGATCGCAGTTGCCTCACAGCATAATTTTTCATCACAACACACGCTCTCTCAGCAGCTTCTACATTCTTTGTATCTCAGCATTTCTTACAAGACTAGCAGGGCTAGATCATTTACATTCCCTTCACATTTTTCAGCATTCACTGTCGTTGTACGATATCATCATTACCACCAACACCATGTCTTTTCGATCTACCATTGTAGCTGCGGCTGCCATTTTCGCCACTGCCAACGCTCACGTTGTCATGAAGGCGCCCGTGCCTTACAGTGTTGACAAGCTTGACAACAGCCCCATTACGAAGGCCCAGTACCCCTGCAAGTCCCAGAATGGGTTCACTGTCTCCACGATGAACTCCATGAAGGTTGGCGAGACGAACAAACTAGAGCTTTTCGGCAGTGCAGTGCACGGCGGAGGCAGCTGCCAGCTATCGGTGACTCTAGACACAGAGCCTACCCCAGATTCCGTCTTCAAGGTCATCAAGTCCATGGAAGGTGGCTGCCCTGGCGTCGAGGGCGAAGCAGGAACATACGAATTTGTACTCCCCGATAGCATTCCTAACGGAAAAGCTACCTTTGCCTGGACCTGGATGTCGAAGCTCTCAGGTGGCCCAGAACTTTACATGAACTGCGCCCCTATTGAGGTCACTGGAGGTTCCGACGACAAGAGTGCTTTTGAGAAACTTCCAGACATGCTGAAGATCAACCTCGACGATTCCTGCAAATCGGTGCCAAACTTCGCCGTCCAATTCCCAGACCCTGGCAGTGTTGTGCAGAAGGGTGCTACAAACGATCTGAAGCCGCCGACTGGAAGCGGATGCGGTTCGTCTGGTTCTACTCCCGCAGACCCATCTTCTCCAGCTGGTGGTCAGCCATCTGCTTCTCCTTCCGCTCCCAACGATGGCCAGTACTCTGCTGCTCCAACCTCTCCAGCTGGTGGCGCGCCATCCACTGCTCCTACATCTGTTGCTGGTGGCGAGCCATCTCCTCTGCCATCCAACGGTGGCGGTGTCTTCGCTCCCGGAGCCTCCAGCGCTGCATCTGTCGCTCCCTCAGCTGCACCCACTGTTCCAGGAACTTCCACCACGCTCGTCACCGTCACTGCCTCGCCAACTGCTCCATCGCCAGCTGCACCCACCGTCCCTGCTGGAACCGGCTCCCCTGCCACTCCTTCCACTCCTTCTACTCCTTCAGCTGGTGGTAGCTCAGGCGCTTGCACTGAGAACGGCTCAGTAGTCTGCAACGGCACCGACCAGTTCGGTCTCTGCAACAACGGCGAAGTCGTCTGGCAAGCAGTCGCTGCCGGCACACAATGCACCAACGGCAGTATCACCAAGCGTGGCTACCACGGCCGTATCGCCCGCCCTCGCCGGTCCAACCGCCGCCACGGTCACTAGATGCACAAATAACCCGTTCTATGCATCGCTCACGACGACACATGTTGAAACATGAACTACATTCACACACTCGCTCTCTACACATTTTTCACCCTTGGGCATGAGGTCTGCGACCAGCTTTTTTTGTTGTACATACCCAGACTTTCTCTTTGCATATTTGGCGTCTGGATTCTAGAATTTTGCTATAACGAACATTCAGGGGATTGGGTATTGGCAGGGTCCTAGGATGCCTGTCAATAGTCAACATCACCCTCGGCTTAGATGCCTATAGAAATGAAACACGATTTCTGATACAAAGGCTTTTTCTCTGTGGTGCTTTGTGATTGTGCGATTTGTCATCTCCTGCATCCTGTGAAACAGTACGGTACCTTGTCGAATGGTGATAAAGTCGTACATGTAATGATGAGTGGTGTTGGTAAGTTGTTGGTGGTGGTGGTGATCAACTTGATGTTTCATACTACATGAAACAAGTCCCTACCAACCATCTACCTATACTCATCTGCTATCAGCCAATTAAACCAGATAATCCAGCAAACCTACCTATACATCCCATGCTGCCATCTATCGACTTCAACTCGACTCAATCCATTCGTCCCGTCCTCACCCCTCACCATCCGATCTAGGCTGTCAACTCCGGAGTCTGAAACCCCACCTGCCTGACCATCCAGGGTAACTCAAACCCCGCTCCGCCACACTGGGGGCACAAGCATGATCCCTCGACACGACAGAAGTTGGTGGATACATTCGGCTTCCGGAAATAGAGCTCGCACTTGCTCAGCCACTGTATCGGACTAGCGCCAGGTACCAGACATTTCGATATTCATGCGGTGGAGTCGGCGGGGTGTGTGGCGGAGTATGTATAGAACATGGAATGGGAGGGGTCTAGATTGTAAGTGAGAGAGCAATTATGCGAAGTAGAGCTTCTCCTAATTTCGTTGAACATGCGCCAGCCGGAAATGGGTATCTATTCATGTGAAGCTTCACACGCGCTTTTGTGCTCCTAGGTAGCCCGCTATTTTGTCTGGGTATCAAATATGGCTGCCGCGAGCTTTGCCGTGTATATTTCTTTATCGTGCTCCCAGCGGAAAGCCTTCAAATAGTCTTTCTCGTCGTCATTCTGATCGTATGGTTCAGCGATACTTTGTGGCAGTTCCTGTAAGTGGTGTTGGGTCGGTGGGACTGGCTAGTTCAATGGGCTCGTGTGGTGTTGCGGGCAGTTCAGCAGCGGCGATGTCTCTGATTGAGTTGTTAGCCCTGATGCTAGATGGCCTGATCAAGTCCCATTCTTACCCCGGCACTTCCGTCTGACGATTGTGGGCATATTTTTCCTGAGGCGGAAAGAATCCCTCGTTGCTCAGCTCCATGGGACTTTCAGTTCCATCGTTGGCGGGCTTGTATCCCTTCTTGCGACGCCAAAGGAAAAAGCCAGCAATGAGAGCCGCAAGTAGGCCTACACCAAGTCCGACCCCCAGTCCTACTCCCAGAGCGACGTTGTCCGTTGATCCTCCTGATTTTGGGGCTGTCGTAGCGGATGCTAAAGTAGTTGGGACTGCAAGCACTGAAGTTGCGTTGGCAGATGAGCTTGGCACGGTGGAAGTAGCTGATGGTGTCGATGTATGGGTCTGAGTAAACGACTCAAGAATAATGGTAACGGTGTAGACGTCGCCTGGTAATTGGTCGAAGGAGAAGACTTCGAAGGGGTTCTCGCATTCACAGTCGTCACCGCAGCAATACGAATCAGTGTCAGTCGCATTGCAGCTATAGACTGGCGCTCCGTTGTCCTCGATATCTGTCTGATGATTAGCACGTATCGATGTATGGGTAACAATTTGTTTACCAAGGCATTGTCGAACACAGTTCCCGCTCTTCCATGCTTTATCTGTACATGTCCCTCGATGGTATCGCGCTTTAACAGGATCGTGAGGATCAGATACACAGAGTCCGTTGGAGAGGCAGGCCTGGTTGTCGTAACAACACCTGTAGGTTGGTGTATTAAGTCAGTGCATGTCTCACACAAGCTCTACACAGACAGTACTGACGATGATACTATCGCGTTCGGATTGCAGGCTGTGTCGGAATCTACCACATTGCCATTAGGGAAATAGCAGGTCGCTAAAACAGTCGAGGACACGCCAAAGAAGACAGCAATGTTGGTCGCGACACGCATGATGTATTAGGGCACGAACAGCAGTCGGAGTCAGGAACAAGTGTGGAGTGTGGCACAGAACAGCATGTTCCCACGGCAGCGGTGACAGGTGCCTTATAGTGGGCTCGACCAGCCACAAGAAAGAGAGCCAAACCGGATTGCTGATAGCATGATTCCACGGCCATATTGCGGACGGATTCTAGGTTTGTAATTTACTGTTCAGGCATCCCGTTCCGGAATGTCGATCATTGGGGGCGGTGTCTGGTGGCATATATCGCGAACTCGACATGGTGTTTTGCCTTTTGGCTGTTGAGTCTTCTTCTGATCAAGTTCACTCGTGGTATTACTATGAAGGAGATTTGAATAGATAGTCTTGTCGTAGACATAGCACAATGGCGTTTAGTTGGAGATGATGATGGCGGTCGTGGAGACTGAGAGGTAAGCATTCGCGAACCAACCGTGCAGCGCTAGCGTGCCGCCGTGTCGGAAGTCGCGTCCGACAAATCTACTGTAGGGCGCAACTCACCACTGCGTCTTGAAGATGACGTGACGGAAACTACTCCTCCCCGCCCACAACATGTCTGAGCCACGGCGGTCGACAAGGGCACGCGCCCGCGAAGAAGCTGCCCCAGCTGCCCCCGAGACGCCCAACGAGAAGCCCGCAAGAGGCGCCAAATCGTCATTGAAGCGCAAGCGGACCAGCCTCGCCGTCAAAGATTCAGCGCCCTCGACGCCCATCACGGACGGCGCACCGTTGCCCCCCAAACAAACACTACCCCTCCGCATAGTCGACGGCGCACCTCTTCCTACGCTTCCAGAACCACAGCCTCTGGATCTTCCCTCGAGCGAATGGCAGACAATCCAGCAGAGCGGCGTGCTAGAGACATCCTTCGAGCGGTCCAAGGCAGTATGGCTGTCCGGCGCAAACTTCCGCACCTTCCACGCCCACTTCAATCAGCCCAAGAAGCTGGCCGACCGCACAGATGAAGACAAGGCGAAGACGGCGAGACAGAAGGAGCTGCTTAAGAATTTCCCCCAGGTCGGTGCTGACAGAGTGAGCGTGAAGCTTGTCATCGAGCCGCATACGTTGCCCATCAGACTCTATGGCCCGCGTGAGGTGGGCAAGCCAGTGCAGAAGAAGGCTCCGACAGCATCACCATATGCGCCATGGCCGAATCACAACCACAACCAGCCCAATCAACACACCAAATACCAAGCTGGCCAACCCATACAGCAGAAGCCCCAGCCACGCCCGCCACAACCTCCCAAACCCGTGCAAGCAGCCCCTCCGCCTCAAGCACCCGCCGCCCCCGCGCCCGATCCCGTTATACACATGCTTGCCGCCAGAGCAGGCACGGATCCCGAGCTGAAGGCTGTCATGAAGATTGTCGCAGCTGGATCCGCAAGCAAGGAGCAGCTCGAGTTCTTCCAGACACACATCAATGAGTTGACGGCCATTCTAGCCAGGCAGAAAGAGGAGAAGGCGCCGAAACCAATACAGCCACCTCCAACCCCGAAAGCCCCTCCACCACCGCCCCCGGCACCTAAGCAGATAGCTCCCCCTCCGCCGCCGCGACCAGTTCAGCCTGCCCAACAGCCCATCCAGCCCAGCGTTCCCAAGCCATATAGCCCAGTTCCACCACAAGGGCAAGTTCAGCAACCTCTGCCTGTACAGCAACCATATCCACCATACCAGAATTACAGCAAACCGCCGCAGTACCACCCACCACCGCCGCAGCTATCTACCTACAACCTACCTCCGAGGACGACATACCGCCCGCTAGTTTTCAGTTTTGTGCATGGCAATGAGGACAAGTTTTATTTTCCGTCGTATAGCTTTATGGAGTGGCTTCCCAATGGCACAGGTGCAAAGCTTTCTTTCTTGATAACCAAGATGAAGCCGAAGCCAGAGTCAGAACCTGTTGTCAAGCCTCAATCCACACCCGCTCCAAAGCCAACCCCGACGCCGACCCCTACGCCTGGCAACGTGCCTAACGCGACATCCAACACGCCACAACCGAATGCCATGACACCAACGCCCAACCCTACAAATCCTACCTTTGCGCCCATACAACCCGCGACGACAGCTCCGTCAACGCCCTTCGTGCCACCTAAACCTCCTCAACGAATCGAAGACTTCGACGAGATGAACGAAATAGACAACATTGAATTCTACCAGCCCGTCACTGTCTTGCTGCTCATCGAGCACGATGATGGCGACGAAATAGCAAGTGCTTTACCGCGCTCAATACGGCCACCGCATGTTGTAGAAAAGTATATGAATGAGGTGTTTGATAGATGTAAAAGAGCGGATGAAACGTACCTGGCCTTCAGATTGCCAAGGGATGCCGATGAGGGGCCAGAGAAGAGAGTCAGGAGCGGAGAAGTGACGCCTGCGCTTGCGACGCCGACCCAAGATGTTGTGATGGGAGGTATGGGGGCGTCCACTAGCAGTTTGGCAGAGAAGAAGAAGGCTGGGCGACCTAGGAAGAGTCTTGCCTGAGATGGTGTTAGATCTCTAATTATATTTCGGGGGCTTTGAAGTAGTCCTCCACCATGTACAAGTACAAATGATACCCAATCTTTAGCGTTAAACTACCTCTGCTCTGCTCTGTCGTTACAATTGGTCATAAGTCTGCGTACAGGTCTGCATTGCGAGTCTCGAGAGCTTGAAGTCATGTAAGTTGTTGTCATCTCAATTCTGTCTTATTCCTCCTACTCAAATGTCAGATCTGGAGTTATCTTCGCTCAACTCCGATGCCAAGATATCTGCTGCGGCCTGCTTATCCCGGTTAGACCACCCGCAGTATCGCTATCTACCAGTTGACATACGTTTGTGCGTTCATCACACTCCGCCTCCACATCAAAGTAGAATCAACGCCTTTGGGCCAGACTACTGTAATACCTCTTCGTTGCTGATTCTTGACGGTTGAGGATAGCGCAAGCGCGCAATACGTAACCGGAAAGATGCCCAACTACAAAGCCATCTTCACCAAGGCATACTGGACATTTGCCATCCTAGGTATAATATGGGCGGCTTTCGTAGGGCTATTAGTGAACCCCACGGCACAAAGACAGTACGTTCATCAGTATCGTCTCTACGGATTGTAAACACCGGACCTGACACCGACTTAGCGCTCTCTACGCCCATAAGTTCCAAACTTCCTTCTTGCATAACGTTTCTAACCCTGAGGAATTTGGATTTGCGAGTAAGCATCTTGTATTAATCTCTGCTATGTTCGATACTAATTTAATCCTGTAGAGGGCCAGGTTCAACCTTTCTGGCTTACTACCGCGGATCAAGAGAAGCTGTTTTGCTGGCATGTGCTTCCCTTAGATGTTTATCTTGAAAATGAACACGAGCTTTACACTAAAGCTGTTTCGGGAGAAATCGCAGATGAGTTGAAGGGGACGGTTGGGGAGAAGCTGTTGAGTAGTGACCTGGAGAGCAGAGTCGTGGTTAACTTTCATGGTGTAGGTTATACTTTCGTTCGGTTCTTTACTCTTTCCTTTAGCATGTCTCTCTTCTATCTCTGTAAAACCCACAATCCGTTTGCGTCTTATATTCTCTCCTTTTCGATTTCAGGTCACACATTTCGGAACCTACGCTCCTTCAATCTCCCCACCAGTCATTCACATCTTTCAACACCGTACAGTTTTGACCGGCTCATGCTAACTCACCCAGAATGCCGGTCACATAGCCCAAGGGCATCGCCCATCAACTTACCGCTCCATCTCCGGCATCCCAAAAACTCACCTGCTTACCTGCGACTACCGCGGCTTTGGTCTATCTACCCTAAACAATAACCCTCACATCCCCACAGAAACCGGTCTCATAACTGACGCCACTTCCTTGATATCCTACCTCAACGACGACCTTGCTCACCCAAGCACCCGCACCGTCCTCCTAGGCCAAAGCTTAGGCACCGCTGTAACATCAGCAGCAGCCCTCTACTTCACCCAACCAACATCTGAACTTATCCCTGCCATCTCGCACCCGTCCGCCATGGCGAGTTCTAAACGTCAGTTTGATGGGTTTGCTGGCATAGTGCTAGTAGCGCCCTTCACCTCCTTGCCCCAACTCCTCAAGACATACAAAATTGGTGGCATCTTCCCCGTCCTAAAACCACTACAATCCTACCCCAGAATAGCAAACTTTCTCACATCTCGCATCATCGATCAATGGCCCACACTTCTCCGTCTGCGGACTTTGATCTCGGCACCTTCCAGCAAGAAGAACGGGTTCCGCATCACCCTCCTACACGCGCGCAACGACCAGGATATCACGTACTGGGAATCCGAAGCCTTGTTCGAGCCACTGGCTTCTCAGATGCTGGGAGAGGAAGGTGTTGTCGCAGAGGAAGAAAGAAGGACGATTCAGGGTGGTGATAGAGTGAAGAGGGGGGCTTTTGCGTATAAGAAGGTGGAGGATGATAAGGGGCATAGAATGGTGGAGCTGGAGGTTGTAAGGTTTGGTGGGCACAACGAGGTTGTTGGGTGGACGCAGGTTAGTCTTGCGGTTAGGAGAGCCTTTGCGAGGAAGACGTTGAGGCCGGGTTTAGACGTGGAGTAATTCTTTGGAGCAATCAGGGATAGGAAAGAACAGGGAGGACATGGATTGGGTTGGTGAAACTGGAGCTGTTGAGGGGATATCATTCGTCGTCGTGTGGCGGCGTTATATACTACATGTACAATACTTCTACACCTTTCTACCCATTCATCCCACAAGAAATGCGCCAGACGTCCGTCAATGTAGATAGATGTAGGCTTCTAGCCTTTAGATAATGAAAAGCTTGTTGTAGCTTTCCCACAGTTTCTTTTCCCTGATGCGACTCATGCTTAGAAGGATGAGCTCAAGCATTCTTGTCCTTTTGTTCTTTTTCATACTTAGCCACGAGCTCCTTCTGCAACTGCGGCGGCGCAGGACTGTAATGGCTAAACTCCATGCTGAACTCTCCCTTACCCTGCGTACTAGCGCGCAACTGACTACTGAAGCCAAACATGCTGTTCAAACTACAATCCGCGTAGACGGTAAAGTCCTCAGGACCAATCTCTGTATCGTTGATAACAGCGTTACGCTTGTTCAGCAGACCAACAACGGAACCCTGGAACTCGTTGGGCGCGGTGATGGTGGTCTTCATAAGCGGTTCAAGGACCTGTGGCGCACCAGCTTGGAAGGCTTTGCGGAAAGCCTGTTGTGTAGCATTCTTGAAAGCCATTTCCGAGGAATCGACAGCGTGGGTAGCTCCGTCGTTGATGACCATGGAAGTACCCAGGACCTTGTGGCCGAGAAGTGGTCCCTTGGCTGTTGAGGCCATGAAACCCTTTTCACAGGCAAAGAGGAACTTTTCGGAAATCGTGCCACCAGAAATTTGCTGCTCGAACTTGTTCTCGCCTAGGGCTTCGCTCGGCTCCATCCAGCCTACTACACGGGCGAAGTCTCCTGATCCACCACTCTGCTTCTTGAGTGTGTGGTCAAAGTTGACGCGCTTGGTAATTGTCTCGCGGTAAGCGACTTGTGGTTGTCCAGTCTCGCACTCGACGCGGTATTCACGGCGCATGCGCTCCACGTAGATATCGAGGTGCAATTCTCCCATACCAGAAATAATGGTCTCTTGCGATTCAGTGTCGGTGTGGACTCGGAAAGTAGGATCTTCGCGCGTGAATCGGCTCATAGCCTTGCTGAAGTTCGGTGTGTCCTTGGTGTGCTTGGGCTTGATTGACAGCGAGATGACGGGTTCAGGGACGAACATGGAGGTCTAACATGTTAGCTTGGCTACAGCATAGCAATGATGCCGGGTACTCACCATAGTGTATCCGAGGCCACCATCTGTGAAGGTATCTCCAGACGCGCAGTCGACACCGAATACGGCGCAGATTTCTCCGGCACCAATCTCGGGAATCTCCTCCATATCGTTGGAGTGCATGCGCACAATCTTTGGAATCCTAACCTTCTTGTCTGACCTCGCGTTGAATACGTTCATGCCCTTTCTCAAGGTACCCTGGTACACACGGATGTACGTCAATTGTCCAAAACTGCTCTCTTCCAACTTGAAAGCCAGACCGACAAATGGCAATGAGTTGTAAGAGACCAGTTTGACCGGAGCTTCCGCTCGCTTCTTGTCCAATGCCATGTTCTCGACTTCGGAAGGGTTCGGTAGGTAGTCGCAAACGGCGTCGAGCATCGGTTGGACAGACTTGTCTGCAAGTGCTGAACCCATCATGACTGGGGTGAACTTGAGAGAAATGGTAGCTCGTCGAATTGCAGCCTTGATCTGGGGGATCGTTGGTTCCTGCTCGTCCAAGAAGAGCTCCGCGATCTCGTCATCGACATCGGCAAGTGTCTCGATGAGCTTTTGTCTCTTCTCCTTGCAGAGCTCAACGATATCCGCAGGAATTTCGTCCGTCTCCCGAATAATTTCACCCTTGGGTCCTTCGTTGTAAATCGCCTTCATCCTGACCAGATCTACGACGCCCAAAAAGCCGTCCTCGCGTCCAATGGGTACTTGGAGGGCCGCAGCTGGAATGCGAAGCTTCTGGTTAATCTGGTCGACAGCCTTCCATGGGTTGGCGCCCATACGGTCCATCTTGTTCACGAAAGAAATTCTAGGAATATTGTATCGCCTCATCTGCCTGTCGACGGTGATGGTCTGACTCTGCACACCACTAACAGCACAAAGAATCATGACAGCTCCATCCAGGACGCGCAGCGCTCTCTCCACCTCGATGGTAAAGTCGATATGGCCGGGTGTATCGATCAAATTGATGTGGTATTTCTCCTCCTTGCCTTCGTCATTCTTCTTGATCCAATCACAGAAAGTCGCAGCGGACTGGATAGTGATACCCTTCTCACGCTCGAGATCCATAGAGTCCATCTTCGCACCCACGGCATCTTTGCCTCGGACTTCGTGTATAGCGTTGATTCGGCCGGTGTAGAAGAGGACGCGTTCGGTGGCGGTCGTCTTTCCAGAGTCGATGTGTGCTGCGATGCCAATGTTTCGTACTCTCGATAATCGCTCCCATTCGACAGGGTCTAGGTTCTCGACAATTTTCTCTTGCGTCAAGGTAGACGGGTCTTCCTTGGCCTGCTCCAACCTAATTTCTCAATCAGCCTTCAATTGCTTTCTCGCCATCGCAAAGCCAGATTGTGGTACATACACTTGGGCGGCCGCAGACTGCCATCTTCGCTGTGGCTGTGTTGTTTGACTGCCGATCCATGTGTCGGTCTTGGTTCCATTGGTATAAGGTGTGCGCGTTGCCGCAATCGTCGAGAGAGTGCATCGTGACGGCGTTCTGGCAGCCGACCGAGCAGAACAGCGGAGACTGCTCGTGGCGAGCGATTGCGCTCGGAAAAGAGATTGAACCCTCATCTTGAACACCCTAAGACGCTTCAAGAAGAAAAAGAACGAAAGGACGACGCGGGGTCTGCTGTCGCTTCGGAATGTCGAATTGCCCGCCAGGAAAAAGTTGGGCCATCGGAGTTTCGGGCGGAGGTGCCAGTCACGTGCCGACATATCACACATGTGTAGCGGGCATTTCTTTTGCGCGATTGGAGTACCAATTGGAGTGAAGAATGGGATTGAGATCTACAGGTAATTTCTGCCAGCTTCTGCGAAGCCTATCGCTAAATGAACAACTATGCACGCAAATAGTCCTTATCCAAACCCATCTCTCCGCTCCTTGTCCTTAGGTATCCGCCCATGAATATCATTTGCGCCAAACAATCGCTCCAGAAAATGCTGTAAAGAAGTGAAAGAAGGGTAAAAGCTGGGTAGATAGAATTTGTCTTGAATCCGTGTGGTTTGCGGTTAATGGCAACCTGAGACAGGGCCATGCATTGCAGACGTAGGACTTTCGGATTGTTGTACCGCAGGATGTGAGATGCGCGACGTCTTGTCTACCGGATGGTCTCCTCCTGGAAGTTTGGTGTCTGAATCTCTGCGACCGACGATTCCACATCTTGGACTGGAGTGGCGGCCTTCTCTGGTTCTTCTGGTGTCTCACTGATGGTGGCGTCTTCAGATGCCTGCTCAGAATGCTCAGCTTCCTTTACAGGCTCATCCTCAGTCTTGTGCTCTTCAGAGTGTCCGTTCGTTACGACTTCCTTGGCCTTGGCCGCGACCTCTTCTACCTTCTTCTTTCCTTTCTGTAGAGTACTAGGCTTGGAAGCTGCTGGAGCTTTACGGGGTGGAGACGAAGCCTTCTCGTGGGGCTTGTCGTGTGTCTTGCTGGAGCTGGCAGCTGTTGGTCGCATCATACGCTCAAGGAATCCCCCTTTAGGCGCAGCGCTTGCAGTTGAGGTACGTGATTCAGGTCGCTTGGGCGCGCTGGGTGCGAGGGACGTTCGCGAGGTTTTTGGTGCCGCGGTCTTTGGTGGTGCAGCACGGGTTGTAGTGGACGGCTTGCGTGTGACCTTGGGCTCCTCGCCATGTTTGGCAGCTGAGGCAGCGGTGGGCGCGGTCAGGCGAGATGGCAGGCCGACTGGACGGGTAGGCGACTTCGGGGTTGGCTTCTTGAAGCCAGTTGGTGAGGTGCTGTAGCAGTGTTAGTACCGGCGCATTGCTTCAAATCGTATTGGACGTACCTTTTACGTGGGGCGGAGGTGGTTGGCTTGGGGATTGCAGGCTTCTTGTTCTCCCCAGGCGCAGCAGCAGGCTTAGCTTTAGCTGCGGCAGTGGCCGTAGGCGCTGTAGCTGAAGAGGATGATGCTGCTGGTCGCAGAGAAGTGCGGCTCGTCTTTGCTGTAGGAACTTTGGCCGCTGGAGCTTTTGTTACAGGAGGTTTGGCGGTGGGCGCTTTGACTGGAGCTGCTGGCTTTGGCGCAGCTGCCGGCTTCGTAGTCTTTACGGGGCTAGGCTTCGGAATGGAGGCAGGTGTCTTGGCCTTGGTAGGGGTTTTCGGTGCAGCTTTAGGTAGTGGGCTTTTGGCGGGTGCGGCAGGTGCCTTGGTAGGTTTGGTGGTAGAAATTGCGGCAGGCTTCTTCAGCTCCGACTTCTTAGTCGCAGGAGATCCATTGTCCTTTGCTTTGCTCTCAGCCGGTACAGCAGCTTCCGCAGCAGGTTCATCGCTCGAAGCTGCGACCTCTGTAGGCGCAGAAGGAGTAGTAGGCGCGTCGGAGACCGCAGTCTCCTCAGTGGGCGCTGCTGGCCGTAGGGCAAGCTCTTCCTGAACTCCGGTCACAGGCTTGTCTGGGTTCTCAGCAGGTTGGGCAGTGGCTGGAGCAGGGGCAGATAGCTCTTCGTTCGCGGCGGCAGCTTCCTTTTCGCCAGCAACCTCCTCTGCGATGGCAGCTTCTTCGACGACAGCGGCTTCCTCCGCAATGGCGTTTTCCTCAGCAACAACAACGTCATCGTCGACGGCAGCTTCCTCAAGCGCAGGCTTGCTCTCCTCTTCTACAATAGCTTCCTCGGTGGGGACTGCAGGCTTGAGCGCAACATCCTCCTGCGCGCCTGTAGTAGCTTTGTCTGGGTTCTCTGCAGGCTGGGCGGGAGCTGGCTCGGGCTCGGGGACTGGGGCGGCCTCAGCGACACTCTCTTTGGTCTCGGCTGGAGTCTCGGCTGGAGTCTCATCGACTGGGATTTGGTCAATCTCAGGAGCTGGCACGACGACGGCTGCCTCCTTCTTCGCGGCTGCAAAAGCAGAGTCGGGAAAGTCGGAGCCCTTCATGATGGCGCCCAGGTTGACCATGTCGGCGGTCGAGTCGGCGTGCATAGGCGGAGCTGGTAATGAGGATTCTTGCGATGCGACAGCCTGTTCTGGAACAGCTTCCGGGATGGCGACGCTCTGTCTGCGCTGTTCTTTCTCCTCGCTGACGGCTTTTTTGAGCTCAGCAAGCTCGTCGGTTTTGTCCTGGCTCACGCGGAAGCTCTCTCGTCGGGTCGCGGCGACGCTATTCGAGGGCGTGCCCTTGGTCTGGCCCAGGTCGGTCGAGGCGGTCGGGGGATGGGCGACGGTAGGCTCGACGGAGACAAAGGAAGCGCGCACTTTTGACTTGGGGCGCTCTTGAGCGTCGGTCGCAGCTGCATTGTCTGTAGGGGAGCGGCCGCGGGGCTCAGGCGAGGCAGCGGCGTTTCCGTTCTCAAACATTGCGCGTAGATTGCGCACGCCGTTGGACATGGCTGCAGTAGGACGAGGCGATCGTCAGTGGTGGGTATCAGCAATGCGGTGTTGGGCGTCGGTCGTGGTAGGATTAAGATATATGAGGATACGTGGGAGATGGCCGTGGCCGCGCCTGAAACCCGGCCAATTTGTTTATGTACAAGCAGTGACGACTGCGCGACAGGGATATCTGGCGTTGCACTAGGAGGGTGCAACTTACAACAACGGGTCTGGATGTCAAGCAGCGTTCAATTGGCCTTTGTTCCAAGAGCAAGAGTGGTGACAATGAGTGAACCCCTGGGGAAGTCGTCAGGTGGAAGGAGTCGATGGTGCTCCCGAGTAACCAAGACAACTGCGCCGAAAGCATCATAGCGTTCCAGTGACGTCTAGCCTCGATCCAAACTCGCGCACAGCACAACAGTGCGCGTTGCGTGTGCACTGTATAATCTGTCATCTGGACACCTGACATCTAATTACCTCCGTATCCCTTTACCTACGCCCCTGAGTGCCCTCGTTGCACGCCGAACCTCTCACGGCATTCACCGCTTGTTGTATATACCGCATCGTCGGCCAGCCTTCAACGTCTATCTCCAGTGATGCATAAAAAGAAAAAAAGAACAATAAAAAGGCTCCGATGCGATTGGCAACTTGACGCGAATGCACCGGATGAATAGTCGGAGCTACGCCAATCACATTGCGTCTAGGCATAATTCCAGCGCAATTTCCTGACCTTGGCCAATCACAAGCAATCTACCATAATCCTCCCTAGTCTTCTGATTACGTCCAAAAGTATCACATCTGAGTGAGATCCAATAACGCTTTGATAGTTATACTCGGTGGGAAAAGGTCTCTTCTGGGTGATGTTGACATTAAAACATTAAACACTACCATCTCCATATTCGGGTGCCTTCTCCCAGACATATCCCCAACTACACGGGACTCTCCTGATCCTCCTCACAGCTTCCACTCGCCGTCCCACATCTCACATGCAAATCATCTGACGCACTACCAATCCAAACCCCATAGTCTCCATCCACAGCAGGAACAACCCAGTTCTGTGATACAACATCCCAAACACTGAGATCCTTACGTGTCACTCTCATGCTCAGCGTCTGACTAGCTCCAGCCTCCAACTCCCTCGTCTTTTCAAAATCCCGGAGTTGGATAACAGGTGTGTCAATAGTGACTTCACTCGGAAACTGGATGTAGAGTTGTGCGACGGCTTTACCCATCCGGTTACCTGTGTTGGTTACGCTGACGGTGATGTCGAATGCCGTGTCGAATAATGCGGGGTTTCCGCCTTGTGCGCCACCAGCTACAGGACCAACTTTCTGCTCGTTCGAGTAACCGGCTGGGTATGGATACTTGGTCGTCGAGTTGCCGATCTTAGCTGCAGCGTCGGCATCGTTCTTCTCGAGCCAGGAGTAGAGGTATCGCCAGATGCGGTTGAAGTTTTCTGGCCAGTATGCCTCTGAAGCTGGAGGAATGGCAGTGGAATAGGTGGGTGTTTCGCCTTTCGCGGGACGAGCTGGAGGCGTCGCTGTAAGCGGAGTCACTGGCGTAATGGTCGCGTTGGAAAAAGAGAACGTGGTGTAGCTGAGACCGTGACCAAAAGCATAGCGGGGTGTAATGTTGGCTTTGTGGAAGTGACGATAGTCAATGTACAGGCCCTCTGTAAAGGTATCCTGTGGCTGCCCAATCTGATATCCGACGAGACTCAAAGATTCTGGGTAGTCATCCTCGGAGTTTGGTAGAGTGTACGGTAAATGACCGGATGGAGAGATGTCCCCGAAGAGGACTTGCATTAGCGAGTCTCCGGCTTCTTGACCAGGCAGGTGAGCGAACAGGACTGCTTTGACGGAAGGCAGGTCGTGCCATTGATCCATGAGGATTGGGCCAACGGTATGTACTACGACCACAACGTTGGAATATTTGGCAGCTACGTCCTTGATGAGTTTGTCACCGTTGTGCCACAAGTTGAGGTTCGAAGAGGTCCGGTCTCCGGGGTTGTTCTCTACGGTAATGTAGTTCTCACCAGAATCAGCGGTAACGAAGACAACTGCAGTGTCGTTCGGTGATGGATTCGAGTTTCCTGGAAAAGCATCCGTGTTGAAGAACTGGTAGTTGGCCCCGCGAGTCTTGAAGCCATCAATTGGGCTGTTCATATAAGGGTATCTCGCCGAGCCGGAGCCCCATCCCATTCCCAACGTGCCCTTGTTGCAGCCTTGGTCCGCACACGAGTTGATTCCATCAGGGTTCTTCTCAGCATCGGTGCCAAATATCTTCAGGGTGCCATTGAGAGACAGAGGCAACAATCCATCCTGGTTCTTCAAGAGCGTGATGGCATCGCGAGCTACTTCACGAGCGACCTCTGCATGATTGGCCTGAACATCCACGAACTCGTTGACAACACCTTGGGGTGAGATGAGAGCGCCAGGGTAGAGAGGGCCTTCGGCATTTTGAGTGTTAGTATCGAAGTTTGGTCGTGGGTACCCCTGGTCCTGGCCCATCTTGAAGTAGGCAGCAAGAATTCGTGTCACTGCATCATTCAAGCGGTCCAACGGCAGAGACCCGTTGAGAACTGAACGTGTCTGCTCGTACATCCAGTAAGAGTTTCCGAAAAGAGGAATGGTGTGGATGTCGCCAGGCATCGACATGTCCAAACCCGCGAGAGCTGAAGGAACGCCGGAGATTTGAGCCAACCAGTCAGACATGACAAAGCCTTGGAAGCCAAGCTCGTCCTTCAGGATGCCGTTGATCAAGTAGCTGTTCTGTGAGCATGCGCTTCCATTAACAGCGTTGTAAGCGATCATCACCGAACCAACCCCGGAACGTACGCCTTTTCAAAGTCAGCCAACGGTACGTATTCCAAGTCATTGTAGAAGGCAAGGCCCGACTTACCCTCAGCGAACGGCCAAAGATAGAGCTCATGAAGAGTGCGATCGTCCAGATTGGAAGAGATACCAGGTTTGACCAGGTTGTACATGCGGTACTCTTCCTGTTCGTTCGCAATCAGATGCTTGATTGTGGCTATGACACCAGTGCTCTGAATGCCTTCAATGGAAAGAGCTCCGCCAAACGCCTGAAGAACAGGATCTGAACCAAAACCTTCCCAGTTTCTACCGCCACGTGGTTTGCGACCTAGGGGTCCGACTGAAGGTCCGAGGTGTACGTTGACTCCCTTGCCACGGAACTCTTCACCGATCGCAACTCCACGGCGGTAAAGAAGATCCTTGTCCCATGTGGCTCCAACGGTAATTCCGGCAGGAAATGCAGTATTATGGTCCGTGTTCCTTACACCTAGAGGCCCATCTTGCAAGCACAGTTGAGGGATGCCGACTCTCAATGCGCTGCCTGTATTTCCCACGCATCTTCCCATGAAGATTCCACTGCCGGCTGTGAGATTGGTCTTCTCAGCAAGCGTCATATTTGAGACAAGCAAAGAAGCTTTTCGGTAGCTCTCAGTCCAGTCGGATGTCCATCCTCCATGCGGAGCTAGGTAGAGTCAGTATTGCTGAATCTAGCATTAAAAGGATTGGTTGATATCGCTGCTGATGACATACACGGATAGTAGGGTGCCGCAACATATCCAGCTGGAACAGCATCGCGTTGCTGGATAGCCGCACCCGCGACGATTGTCGAAAAACCTAGAGCAAGAAAGGAAACCATGATGAAAGAGTGACTTTAGGTAAGCAAACGAGCGTCAAGCAGGACGGTAGCCTGAGACCAACTTGGAAAGGGAACCATGGTCCTTTGTATATAGGCCCTTGCAGAAGCAATATTCAACCCCGCAACACCAAGCCGGTGTGAATATCGCACTTTTACCAGAGCTAAGCTCGCGCTAGCCATGGTGTTGTATGGTGATGGACACACGGTGGGTGACGCGGACGACGGAAACAGGTATAAGACCGAGCAGCATTGTCGTGGATCAAGGCTCAATGCTGGGGTCAAGGATTTAGACCGGCTAATGATCAAGATGCTTGTTAAGCGGGCGACATGGGCTTGCTGTTGCGCAACCACCAGGAACCAGATCACATGCGAACAGCGAACGTATGTTCGTTGCTCAAAGCGTATTGAACTGCAATGTTCGGTACATGCTGGGAAGGTACTTAAGTACCAGGACGAACATCGTCACGAGATCAACTGCTTGTTTGGTATCGAGTCAACTTTCGAGTGATGCTTAGTTGATCTTCCTTTGAAATACTAGGCTCAGGACTGGGGTAAGAAGTCGTTGTATTGCCAAGTTGGCTGTTTCCTTCGAGTTGCGAGTGCAGTTGTACAAAAGCAGATATGGTCAAGCGTAAATTGCGATAGCAGCTTTCAATGCGCCATCTGCGGCCAAGAGAGTCACATGTCGCGTCGAAGCCCATAACGGTAACTGTATATATTTATTTTCAAGCCACGTCAATGCTCCTAGCACATGTCAAGATGCCCGTTGGCTCGGGCGGTCGATGAAGGACTTGCGGGGTGAATGTGAAGATGGCAAGGAGAAGAGCGATGATGGACAGGGGCAGAGTGACCTCGGCTGCACTAGCGTTTCCCCTTTCTGCTTCCGGAGCACCCATCAAGCAGCAACTCCGTCAACACCATCGCGTCAATGGACCTGTGATCTCATATTCAATCACATCGGCTTTATGCATATCTATATCCCCTGAGATGGCGTATTGGATGTGATCTTAGCATACACCAACCGGGCTGCTGGCTCAACTCGAATCTTGATCGTCGAGCCAGGACGGTCCTTGCCAGCTGAGTATGTGAAGAAGGCAACTGGAAGCGGTATTCGAAAGGCTAGTGAGCAGTAAACACACTTGCTTGACACATTGCTTTCGTAAGCAGTATCCTCCAATCCACCAGGTGCCGCTCAAGCGCCCGTGAAGCAGCAGAGCGAAATTACGCTCCATAACCCTCAAGCTCGCGGAGTGCATTCAATCGTCCGTCCACGAATAGCATGGCTTTGTAGCGAGTTGCCGGGTTCCGTGAGTGATTCTAGGTTAGTTACTTCCGTGCAAGACCGGAGTAGATCCGACACGCGTAGCGATTTGGATATCGAGCGCGTGTGCGTGTCACGATATGTGAATTCAGTCCATCTTAGACGGTACGTTGGAGAGAATTCGCGCTTTTGCAAAGAGCGAGTGGTAGAAGGTCAAAGATTAGGGCATGGGTTTCTTTCCACAAATTGGCGAGCTACCTAGTTATTCAAGCACACTCGCCGCCAGCACTGAGCGGTTACTATTTTCGAGATGTCTCATCTAGCTACGATCCAGAGCCTGGGGATTCTTTTTCTCGAACATACGATACGGAACGCTCAGTCCGCGGTTGGATGGAGAATTGCAAAATGTGACGATGTCGGTATGAAGGAGGCTTGGTGCATGCCGTTATCGATTTTTGTGAATTCGGATGCCGAGGTTGGGGCTGAGGGACGAGGCTGTGTGAACGACCATCTACGCCCAAGCATCAGACGAACGCTTCTCTTGTGCGACGTGACGGTTTGTCGAATCGAGAAAATTCTTCGGTGTCGCACGATCAGACTACAGCTTCTTGTCATCTACCGCTCGGCTATGCCCATACTTAGAATGTGTGGGTAATGAAGCGCGGAAACCTCTTGCATATTCCTGTCTCTGCTATTGCTCCGGGGCGCGTCAGTTCCGTTCCGACCGCAAGCGGTGCAGTCTAGCGCTTTCGAAACACTGCTACAGCTTGTCAGGCATCGATCTTCAACGTTCGCCAGAGGCACAGTAATGGCCGGCAGCAGTTCGCGGGCGCTTCTCATGGGAGCCTTGGACAGAACGTGCTTTCGGTTCTTCCCGCGGTCCCGCTGTGATCTGTGATCTTGTTTGCTGAAACGACCCACAACCCACACTCGCCCATCCAGTGACCGCGCCTATCGTGAGCGCCTCGCGGGCTATCGGCCGGCCGCATGTTCTTTTTCTGTGTATGGGTCTGCTATTATGAAGCCATCCAGGGTTTCTTTGAACCTCCAGAGCCCATAGCGCGGGCTTCTTTGGAACGGCTTGCTGACCTTCCCCTCCACGTTTCCGCACCTGCATCCATCTGCAGGTTCCCGAGCTCAGCCCTACTTAGTATTGATGACTACGTCCTACAGGTATCCGGCCTGGTGAGGCACCCCTTGCCCTTGTGTCGCTTGCCAAGGTCTTTATTTGGGCCATATGCGCTCGTCGAATCAGCGCCAGATTAGCCGCCCTTCCCCTCCATCGCTGCCCCTCCACCACTCAGCAGCAGTATTATTCTTAGACACAGCCGCATTAGGGAGTACAGCAGATATTCTCAAACAGGCGCTTTCGCTACAGTCTACTCTCCCTTGTTCGAGGGACGAACCGCTCACGTTTTGTACTTCGACCATTCACAGGCCCAAATTTGGCCTGCCCTGGTCCCTTATGATGGCGCTTGGAGCCACGACCCAGTGAACAGCCTCCTCTTCGCCTAGTCGCACATCCCATTCTCGGTAGATACAGATCGATCCGGCGATTACAGAAACATGTCCAGGTTTCAAAACAATTCTCCGAGAGGCCTACTGGTCTTTGTTGTCGATGGAGGCTCAGTGTGCGGCTCATTGTATAAAGACGTTCGCCATACCCCTTGATTTAGGCCTCAGACAACACAAACCCAAAGGTACGAACAGCAGCTCTTTCGTTTTCACTCTCGAGGATATCTCCTACCTTTCGTTCCTCATACGTCACTGTCGTTCTCCTGCGCCAGCTCTACCTTAATCATAATATCCTCCTCGGTCGCTTCCATTACTCTCATCTTCATCCTCCCCCCGTCTTTCTATATCTCCGTTCCAGTCATAACTTTCTTGTCTCGATAGTCTTTTCTTTCAATTGGTCAACATGCCTAAGATTGAAAAGGGTCCGGCGCACCGCCTTTCTGTATCGACCGCATCAGCCGCAGGCGGAACTCGGAGCTCCTCCTGGTCAGCTAAAGATGACGAAACACTTATCCAGGCCAGGGCACAGGGCCTCAACTGGAACCAAATTGGACCGAAACACTTCCCTTCCAAGACCCCCAATGCTTGTCGCAAACGGCACGAACGGTTGATGGAGAGGCAGAATGCAGAGCAATGGGACGGCGTGAAGCTGGACGTGCTAGCACAAGCCTATATGGAAGTGCGACGGGACATGTGGAGTATGCTAGCTGCCCGGGTTGGAGAGAAGTGGCAACTGGTAGAGACAAAGGTACGTCATCTGCGATCATAAGTAATACTGAAACAGCTGATATTAACTTCACTTAGTGTATGGAGAAGGGGCTAAAGAATCTTACTCAGGCCTATAGGTCAGCGCAGAAGAAGCTCGAGAATGGTACCTACCACGACCATGAAGATAGTGGAGTAGGCGTTTCTGACCTCGAAGAAGAACAAGAGGATCATCATGTGGACTTGCACACCCTGTCCACAATCCCCGATACTCATTACTCCGCATACCCAAGCTACCCTATGCAGCGTCAACAACGAGTACCGAGCATCCAGTCCATGCTGCAACCGATGCAACAGCACCAACAGCATCCCATGCAACAATCGATGCAGCAGCCAATGCAACAATCAATGCAACCATCGATGCAGCAAAACATGCAGCCGCCGATGCAGCAGACCATGCCGCAGCAGATGCAATACTCTCCGCATTCGCATCATCTTCCGCACCAGCAATGAACGCTCAGTGCCATTGCCAGCAAACTTGGCCTTTCTTCAACATCTCTTATCCGTCTTACATCTCCTTGTCACGATCCTTACGAACTTTCATCTTGCGCCTAAGACGGCAAGCGGTTTCTTTCTGTACCAATACCCCATCGGAAACACTCCGATATTAGAGTTTACCCCCTCTGGTAGCTCTCTTCGCCAAACATTACCTCAACGACAGACGCCAACTACTCACATTGGTAGTTTTCTTATACCCCTTGAGCATTCGACATTCGCATGGAGGACTGTAATCAGGACGGAAAACCAGGACACTCGCTTCCACCTGTACCGGCGACACGACGGAGGCTTAATTGGCGTTTTTTTTCTTCAACTTTTCAGTACATGCTTTTCATGGCAGCACGTGAGCATTGGGACAAAACTCCCTCGTAGATTGTGCAGCCATACATTTCTTGTCAATGTTAATTATTTCGTTCTACTGTCTATTATGCATGCTTAATAGTGGTGAAGCTGTCATTAACTATAGGGAGCTGCTCAGATCCTTCGATGTACATGTATGGAGACTATACCTTCCAACGCGACTTTCTAAGTAATCTGCAGCGATGTCTATCTGACAAGCACAAGAATCCATATGCGTCGACTTCCTAAGCCGTAGGTAGTCCGGTCACGTTCTGTGTTGCAACAACAGCATAGCCCCCAATACGCACACAGCCTCACCTATATTCTACCTGACCCCGCAATCCCCAAGCATAAGCATCAAAGAAAACCGATACAATCGTGCATCATGTTGCAGCCCCCAAATAGACATCTTCCTGCAGCGGCAAGATAGCTACCCGTCCGCTTCACCACGCGACGAAGCATGCGGCTCACCTAAGGCTCTGACACGCGATGACACGCGAGTCTGCCGTCGATCTCGGGGAACGATGGTCCCGCGCTAAAAGCGTATCATGACATAACCACCAATTCGGGTGTGCGCGCCAGACACTTGGCCCCCAATTTCTCACAATGCGCGAAACCACAATGTTTGAACGTGTGCGATTGAGCGATGCCCCGAGCCCCTCTCCTTCGCGTTCCCTACACCGATCCCCTTCCGGCGCCTAGGATCATTCCCGCGAGCGCGACGACGGCCAGCGGTGCTATTAGTGCTTTGGTCGACTTTCTGTCGCCTTCGTTATCCAAGTCTACTACACCTTCGAGGGCTCTTCAGTCGAGACTCTCCAGCCGGCTCGACCGTGGAGAGAATGTTGGCAACACGCTGCTGCTTACTGGTGCTGGCATCTCGGTAGCTTCTGGCTTGGCCGACTACAGAGGCACAAATGGCACGTATACGCTGAATAAGACGTATCGACCGGTGTATTTTCACGAATTCTGCGACAGCCATGAGGCGAGGAAGAGATACTGGGCGAGAAGTTTCCTAGGCTGGACGAATCTAGAGAAAGCGAAACCGAACAAGGCGCATGAGGCTTGTGGAGAGTTGGGACGAATGGGTGTGGTTGGGAGTGTAATTACCCAGAGTAAGTTTGACCTGGCAAACCTCACCTATTATACGTGAGGGGAACTTGGTGTCGAGATGCAATACTCGAGATGCAATACTAATGGACCCGTTAGATGTAGATTCCTTCCATCCAAAGGCGCACCCGCAGCTTCCTACCATCGAGCTACACGGCTACCTGCGTAACCTCGTCTGCCTGACCTGTCGCAACGAATACTCGCGCCGTTCATTTCAAGACCAACTCTCTACTTTGAACCCCTCATGGGCTGCCTTCCTCGCCGAAATGATCGAGTCTGGCGCTCTAGATACTGAGAACCCTGACGAGCGTCGGAAGAAAGGGCTCAAGTCGAATCCAGATGGTGACGTCGATGTTCCGGATGCTCCATATACCACGTTCAGATACCCACCATGTCCAACTTGCTTGGAGAAGCCACCAAAGCGTGCAGATGGAGGCACAGTCCGCGTAAAAGTTGACAAAGATGGCGCATGGGATCCCGCGAGCGAAGGTGGGGTGCTCAAGCCAGCTGTCATTATGTTCGGCGAGTCTATACCCGCCGCCACCAAAGTCGCCGCCGAGGAGGCTGTCGATGCCGCCGGTAGGATACTAGTCATTGGCAGTAGTCTTGCGACATACTCTGCGTGGAGGCTAGTCAAGAAGGCAAAGGAGATGCAAATGCCGATTGGAATATTGAACATGGGCGGTGTCCGAGGCGAAGAAACCTTCTTTGGAGACGTTGAAGACACGAATACCGGCCGGGAAGCAGCCCGCTTAAGTGAGAACGCCGAGAAGGTATTACCGCAAGTAGTGAGGATATTACAGGAGATGAAGGGAAGCAGGTAGTAGGCGAACTATCAAGTCACAAGTGCAAAGTGCGTCTGGCAATATGCAGATGTTATTGAACATGGTGACGAAATTGCCGTCGAGGCAGTGGTTGTGCTAGCTAAACAATGCACAGCATTCTAGGTAAACTCTCAATCCAACTCCAGCTTCGCGTAAATGTGATATCATATGGAGAAGCAAATCATCCACCCAACGCGCCTATGCTGGGAATGAAAGAACAAATGAAACTCCAGTCAAATCAGGACCTTTAAGCACCCCTTTCCCTGTCTCTTCTCTCACCCTCCTCCTCGCCGTCAGCATCCTCGACAACCATCCTAAATCCCTCCTCTTGCTCCAACTTCTTCATCCCCTCAGCCACTACGGCTTGCCCCTTCGCCCTCGCCTCCAGCAGAATCCCCAAATCCCTTCCAGGAACTGCCCTCAATTCATCACTGCAGCCGCGGCAGATACGCAACTGACACCAAGTACACGCCCACTTCCTGTCTTTGTCGTTTTCATGGCATACCATGCAGCCCATGGGCTGAAAGATGTTGTTGGACCAGATGTTGTGGCGATGTCCAGTGTAGCAGGAGAGTTGCGAGGGCGTTATACGTGGGATGTAAGAGACGGGTAAGGGGATCGGGTGGCGGGTCAAAGGTGTGAAGGGAGGGGGTGATGCTGGTGTCGTGGTTTCGGTGGGAGCGTTGTCGACGGGAGATGTTGGGACGGAAGGACCAGGGAAGGGAGAGAGGTTTAGATCTTGTAGGTCGGAGGATGTTGGGCGGGATGGAGCGCTCGTGGGTCGGACGCCTGGGGATGGCTCGGGAAGGTCGAGAGATATTGTTCGGACGGGTATTTGGGTCTCGGCTGGAATTGTGGTGGTTTGGGGTGCTGATGGTTGTTCTTGTTCCACTGGCTTTTGCTGGGGCTCAACAGCGGTAACAGCAGCAGCAGGCTCGTAACTGAATGGTCTCCTCTCACTTGGAGGTGGTAATGGTGAGACCGGAGAGATCTCACCATCCTTCTTGGCTAAGACTGGCTTCAGCGTCGGAGAAGGTGTCATCTCGGGCGTAATCGTATGTACATCTTTCGTGGGAATTGGAGGAGCCGGCCTCATTGCCTACACAGTCTCGGTCAGCGATCAACGTGCTATGATTGGAAATGGATCCAAGTACCCTTGATTTTGCGACATTGTCACACAGTACGACTATCGTACAAGTACTGGAGAAGGAAAAGGGAGGCGAATATATACCTTCAAAACGTTGAAACCTGTGCTGCTTTTACCGCGGGCGTGGAGAGGCGAGGCCGGGGCTTTGACACGAGGGTTCGACGGGAGGCCTGTGAAAACTTTCTTGGGAGGCGCGGGGACTTTGGCATCTTCTTGTTCCTCATCTGGCGTTGGCGGAAGTTGCGTTTCCATGTTACGCGGCTGCTCCTCTACCATGCTTGCTTGACTATCGACACTGGCCTTCCGGGGCATAGCATCTGATCGTTGACTGTCTACGCTAAGGTCTCTGGGTGCAGATGTAGGAGGCATCGGAGCGCCCTTCCTTCCTCGTGGTCCGTTAGTCAATTCAGCCAAGCTCTTGAACTTCTTGAGTCCTTGGTCTGGAACTGCTTTGCGCTTGATGATCGGGGAGATAGTTTCGTTAGACACTTCTGTCGGGTCTCTGTTCCCGTCTTGGGAAAGAAGTGAGTCGTTCCTCGAAAGATCTGTTGCTGGCAGTGAAGAGCCGTTTCTTGTATCAAACTGCTTGATTGACTTCCGCCTTTCCGACTTGGCTGGTGGTGGAGGTGGAAGATCCTTCTCCTCTGCCCCTGAGGAAGGGAGAGACTCAGATCGTGCCGGAAATACTGGGGTAGGGGGGACTGTTGCTGTTGATCCGTTGCTGATGGTGAGCTTCAGAGATGCTGGTTTAGATTCACGAGACAGGCTACGTGATTGAATTCTTCTTCTTGGTGGAGATCCTGGAACTGGACTTGCTGGAAAGACAGGAGCGTCTTGATCATCTGTGGTCTGTTAGCAAATTTCGCTCAAAAACCGATGAAATTAAGTCAAGTCGTGGTAAGTGGCACGCCGGATACTCGTAACCACTCATTCAATGTACACAAACAGGGGCCATCTTTTACATTCAAATCCAAGAAGTTCTTGCTTACCTCTCAGTTGAAATTTTGCTTGCATCCTCAGCGCAGCTGGTAGCGGTTTGCGCGCAATGCTATCTGATCGCGGCGGGGGTGGAGGAAGTTCCTTATCCGCAGGCACAGGTGAATACGCTGATGGAGATGCGTCGCCTCGGCCAAAGGAGTTGCCATAATCGTTGAGTAGCGCGCTGACAATGTCTTGTCTGGAGGCAGGAGCAGATAACAGGCCCCGTTGAGCCATGACGTCGGTCATCGTGAAGTTCAAATATGAAATGTCGTTTTTCAATGTGAGCGTGGACTGCGATCAAAGGATGGCACCAAAGGAGTGGATAGTGCTCGAAAAGTTGCTTTGGTAGTGAGTGTGTGTAAAGAGCGTGGTGGCAATGAAGAGAGTGACTATGCCGTGAAGCAAGACGAAAAGACAGGTCCCAGCCCGATTATAGACTCTCTTAACGAGCACAAGTCATGAAGGAAGGAATGAGAGTGGAAGGGACGCGCATAGCAAACCCTCGCGGCGAAGCTGGACGTCTCAGGTACAAGAATGAGCATGGGACACGGCTGACAGAAGAGTGGTCGGGCCTTTCAAACGCATGAAGTGTTTGACATATGGGCCAGGAAGAGGCTGGCCTGTCACAGCTGACGACCAACGACTGCGCGGATTATCCATGCAAGGGTTAAGGCGTTGGAGATGACAGGATGGTCCCGAGCTCCACCGGGGAGCGGGATTCTTTCGATTGTTCTGCGGAATTGGTCCACGGCCATATTGAACGACCCGGCAATTTCTCCATCAGCCGGTCTTGAGACGATCACGATAAAGTTCAGAATACAAAGCGAGCCCACGTTCTTGACGTCGCACAAACGGCCCGACCACGGGAAGCTGAAGCACAACGTTGATGCGTGACGTGCCAGGCGACCGCTTTCTGCCAAATCACGGCACCCCACAAGTGTGACCCGCACGTGATCAGCTTCCGCGTTTCAGGCTACCGGAATAGCTCTTTCGGAGGAGATCGAGAAGATATGCCGAGGAGCTGGTCAGACCCACAGTTGCACATGCGCTGACGTGTGACGTTCGCAGATCCACATATCATCGTCGTCCGCCTTTACATGGAGCTTCCATGTGCATCGCATACCTAGGTACTGTGGTGCAATCTCGTTTTCGGAAACAAATGCTTCGGTCAGAAACGAAATGACGATGATGTAGACAGGGTGTCTGCAAATCATTGGCGGGAGCGGACCTAAGTGCGCGATCGTGACGGATAGATTGTGTAGCATTGGCGTCGAAGTTTCCCGGGTCCGTGGGCTGTGCCATGGCCCTTCATATTGTACAAACGGACGGATGGCCAATCACTAAGCAAGCCCTGAATACTGGTGTTCGTGAAACAATGTTCAAGATTGCTTTTCGTGTAGCTGACTTTTGATCTTTCGATCATAGCCTGTTATTGATCTGAATAAGACGCCTCACTCGAGACAAACTTTGTACATCTACACATCGCCTTGTATTTCGACAAAGGCCTATCGCGATGACGGCCAATTCTGTGGGTCAGAAGATCCATGGGTATCCCCTCCAGCTCTGCAACTGTCAATCATGACAAAAAGTGAATCCTCCCGTGCGCCGTCGCTAATGAACAGTCGATCCTAAGCATCGACAGGGACTAAGGTAAAGTATTTACAAGAATAGTAGGTAAAGGGTATCGCTCCATCACTGGAAGAAATAAAGTACAAACATTAGGATCAAGGTTATCGTAGGTGTAATTGTGACGCTCGTAGTCGGTGCAGCAGCTTTGAGAGGGGCGGCTGTGACATTAACGAAGGTCGAGCCGCATGCTATCGAGATCTGCTGAGCGGCTGAGGTGTAGGTTTTCGAAAGAGGTTGCGTAGCGTTGTTGCCGTAATAAGAAAAGACGCTCATTGCTTGTTGTAGGCACGAGTTGCAAGTTGGCCGTGATCCACCGGGAAGTTCTTGTCCAATGGGTAGGTAATATGGGTATGAGTCTCCTGGTGACGACGTGTTGCTGACGGCATTTGCGAAACAATAGTTTCCCTGGTCATCGTGCAAACAACTTGCCTGATACGATGGCTGGTATGCGACGAGGCCGTTGTAAGCCTGCAGTACCAAGGGATTGTCGCTTTCATAGTCAGATTTGCATGCCGTCTCTGACAGTAGTTCTATCGCAAAATTGTCCAGGATCGGTTTGCATTGCGCTGCGTCTACTTCGCAGGTCGCATCGAGGGTTTGTGTAATACGGAGCGTAGATTTCGAGGCATCGAAAAAGCCGCTTGATGTCTGCAGCCTGTCAGTCGAGACTTTCTTTGAGTCTCTCGTTGAACATACCTGTATCAGTAAGGAAAATGGGTGGCAGTTGTTGAATTCCGTACTTGAACGCAGGCGATTGAGGAAGTTTGCGCATGAGTTGGTAAAATTATTTGAGAATCCTGTATCGAATGCCTTGGGAACTTCGAATTTGGAGCTATCGGCGGTATTAGAGTCGGTATTGATGGCTCGTTCCGATAGTGGAGCAGAGGGTGTTTGCGTGACATCGTCGTCGCGTTTTAGAGGAGGCATCAACAGCGAGGCGGATGGCGGCGGGCTGAGGTCCAGGTACAATGCCGATCCTGTCCAAGCAAGGTCGTCTTCCACGAGCAGGGCCGGTCGATCACCATGTGTTTCCGTTGCGGATACGGGGGCAGCCTGGGAACTGCAAGATAGAAATACGACGAGCAGCAGAAGCAACGCGCGAAATTGGAAGCCGATGCGTGGTGACACTCGCAGATATAAGGGGACTCCGCAGCAGCCGTTTTCGTGTTGCCTCTTCCGCGTTGGCAGGGGATTATGGTGCGACAGGATCGCTACCGACTCGCGTACGAAACATTGTGAACCCATATCCAATAAAGGATGCTATAGCCGTTGATGATGCTATTATTAAACGCAGAATCTCCTCAGAATCCTGAGGCCCATGACCGAACTTTGGTGATGGCCAGGTGGTTTACGGTCGTTGTCGATGACCACTTTGTCCAACTCTCAGGTACGGATGGTACCTTGCAGCGGTTCAGCAAGTGTCCGAGGGCTTTTTGCGGGCCGCCAGGGGTAGGGGAACGGTCGTAACTGTGAAAAGGCAAAGAGTGACAACCAGTTGGAGGGACTTGCTTATCAATGTCGATCGCAACCCGAAAGATGGTTTGAACAGCCTTTCGTCGATTTATTTAGCAGCCTCCAGAACATGTCAATGCATGGGAACGGCCGGCCCTTATGATGATTGCCATGGAAGCTGCGAATCCTTCAAGCCACCAGCTCATTCCTGGCCTGCTAATAAAGCCACGACGGGCCCCCCGTGCAAGCAAGACTCGTTTCTTCGGCTGACGACTTACAAGCGATTCGGGTAATAGAAGCTTTCGACCAAATCACGGTCTGTAGGTCTAACGGTTCTGATAGGTCAGTTATGCGTTGGTCTGTTCAATGCAATAAAAGTTAACCAGATCGAGCGACGTTCTGGCCAGAAAAACGGGGCACCATTCTGTCTAGGCGGCGCGGTCCCTGACGCCTTCGCCAAAGATTGCCCCTTGCGCGGCAATAAGGCTCGTTCTGTGCAGCTGCTGTGCCGGCAGGTAGCCGCTACAAGGCGTTGCGAGGGGCAGCGTTACAATGGTAACTTTGTAACGATCACTAGAAGTTGCGCTGCTTCCCAAACGCCTGGGAGATGATGTAGATATCGCTTTTGTCTCGCTGAACGTCGACGTTGGATGAAAGACGTGTTGTGGTGTTGGGAATGTAGCCCCCAAGCCCCGGGAACAATCCCGCCATCGCGGCGGTCACCCAACACTCTACACAGTATCGCCAAGCCAATAAGCCACTGCGAGCCACGCCCCTATCGGCTCCGTTCTTCTAGGTCTCTCGTGTCCTTGTCAGCTATAGACCGTGAATCGACGCTCACATTGGATTACACACCTCTTCGACGGTCTCATCGCGAACGTTGGCGCGCGCGTGACTTATATTCTGCTCGACCAACTCAGCTCCAGCCAACACGTCAAGCCAGACATACTTCCTGTTCTGCGACTTGAAAGGCAGCTGTGGATATCAAGAAAAGGACGTGCGCCTTCTTCTCTCTCAACATCTTCCCGCTGTCGCCTCTTGTGGTGTTGCCAAAATTGCTCAATACCATCTTGTCAGCATACCAACACTAATGGCGATGTTGGCCATCCGCTGCGCGCGTATATGCTATCGAAAACAATCTGTATGCGCCCTCTGGGCGACTCTGCGCCCCTTTCTACCTACCTGATGCGGAGATTTTCTCCGCATGAAGCTACTTTGGAAGCTCCATCTTCCACAAAGGTCAACGGTGACTGCCCAACTGCAGCATTAGTGCTCACGTTCCGGCTCTCCACACCATCAAGGCGTGTGCATCCATCAACGTGCCGTTCATCAACACGAAGACATCTCGGCCAATGCGCATCTAGACTTGACTTTCCGGTCTACTACATGCGTGGCCATCGCAGTCGTTATTAGAGATCTTGCCAAAATCCTGGAATTCACATCGACAGGCTGCACTCTCAGATGACCCCATGTTCATGTCATTGAGCCTAAATTACCTCGTTCATAACAAGCCTGGCATATACTGATCTCCCGGCATCCGCAGGCTACGGGCGGGATAGAGGATTGTAAGGGCAGGGTCTGGGCTTATAGAGATGAGGAGAATGATGCTTCAGCTTGGAAGAGCTTCCAAGAATTGCTAGTATTACTACGTAGAATTGTCAGCAGGGAGGCTCTACTAAGCTAAACTAGGGTACAGTACTGCCAGCAATGCGTTTTGTATATAGGAAGCTGCCCTTGGGTACACTTTTCGCTCGGACCGAAACTTGTAGCGATCTCTAAAACTTTTAACAGGAGTAATGTGTTAGCGTGATATTTGGGCTTTACGATAAGCACATATCTCGAGAGGTAGGCTCTAGGCAATCACTGCTCTCTCAGACGCTTGGCACCTGTATAACTTGGCGGTTGAAAAAAGAAGTTGCTTGTCAGACGTGTACTTCAGAACTCCACCATACAGTGACTTAATTTAGGAACGTTTTAAATCTCGGCCACGGCTATCCCCACATAGTTTAAATTGTGGCGCGCCAGACATCGGTATGTGACTCTGACAAGTTTGTTTGTATATGCGAACCTTGATAGCACACAGTGTAAGATAGACAGATCAGAAAATGTATCATGAGAAGCGATGTAGATGTGTTCTCGATCGGGACCAAAAGAGGTTCGAGCGCCATGGAGCAGATATCTTACGTAGCAAATAGAAAAATCTGTTTGCACCAAAGAACTCAATATGCTAATATCGATGCCTGTAAAGGTGGAGAAGTACCATCTTCGCAACTACCACACTGACCACATTAAGTATCCAGTTTCACGAGAGCATCAATATTAGCTGGAAAATTCCAGACTTTGGCTCCGATAGATAACGGTTTGACTATTAAGGAGATGCACCCCAAGCTCGATTCTACACTCCATACCTGGGGCCTGCGTAGGTTTCAGATCTATTCATCCGAGTATGTGCGCCACCTTAACACCGGGCACTTTACGAGATTGGCAATCTCGAATTCGATAGGATTTGACTTACAAGAGCTAGAAATGAGTCTGCAAGTATGGTGAAGACATAAGAAGGGAAAGCGGGATCAGCATCTTGTTCAGGGTAAAAGTTGACGGAGCTGGACTTGGAAAAACAAAGACTGGGAAAGATTTAGCATTGTACCTCAATACCTGTCATAAATAAAAGCCTAGTTCTGGTTGATGGTTCTCCGTATAGGTCTCAAATCAATGCAATAGGATTGGTTCGTACATCAAGTATACAGGTTGTAGTTGCAGCTGAGATCGTTGACCTACGACATCAGTAGGAACATTACTTAGACGGTCAGACTGAAGACGCCAAGTGTACACCCAGACCGATAGTTTTGGAACTCGAGAACTAATCGCCAGTATTTACGTGAGGCATTGCAGCGAAGAACATTATCAACTGCCATAGGTTGTCCGAGATGATCGCGAGGAATATCGATGAGCCGAGGTACTGAGAAGAAGGCGCGCTAATTGGCCTGACGAGCACGTACCGCAGGATTACTGTCTTCGAGCGGTTGAAATCGTCGTCTTTGGCTATCTTAGCGCGGCGTACGGATGTGATCTGTTGGGTGTGTTGAAGATGGACAAACTGGGGTGGTTCATGTAGATGGTAGGTACTGCCACAGGAAAAGACTTTCGCTGGCACGGACACCACTCTCGCTCCGCATCCGCATCCGCATCCTTGTGGTCGCGACGTCGAACAACCAGCACCCATGTTGCCAGCGGCCCGATAAACCAACGGGAAGCACCGATTCGCTTGCTACTAAGGCCGTAGATAGAGATACGCTGACGAGTCTCATGCAACGATGATGATTGTCCCCTCTTTTGGTGGGGTTTAGGCGGTCCGTCAGCACAGTGAACTTCATCTTCGACCGTGCCACTACTTGTGATACATCATCCATATTCTCTCTGCTAAGACACGCTACCACGAACATGGCGAGTCGATCGATCGTATGTGAATACTCGAACTCAGACCTGCGTAGCCCTGGGGCAGTCAACAGCTGATGACTGACGCGTAACACAGTTGCTTATAGCGCTTGCTATCCTCGCGCCATACGTATACGACCGCTACCTTGCGTTGTCGACGATATTTGGAAACAGACCTGGGAAATTCGAGGACGTCAACAACTTCAAGAGCCATGAGGTCAAGTTCCGCGATCAGCTCCGCAACTGTGAGGATGTGCTCTTCGAAGAGGGCATGGGCATTGCGTTCCTGAGTTGCAACCCTGGAAGAGATCAGTGGAATACCGTGATGGTGCGAAGCTTCCAATAAAATTTGCTCACAGAAGCGAAGTTATGTTTGTATTTCACAACCTAACATCTACAGGGCACATTCGCTCCAGCTCTAAGCAAACGAGGCGATGAAGACAACCCACATATCTGGATCTACGATTATTCAACGCCAAACACTCCTGAATCTGAAGTTCTCAAGCCGCTGGTTCTGACTGATTACAATAATGCAGCAGACTTCCAACCCTTGGGCATCGAGTTCGACGCCGCGACATCAACACTTTACGTCATTAACCATTCCCGGAATTCCGGAAACATCATCGAAGTATTTCAGGTCTCTGTCCAAGACGCAGTAGCGAAATATGTGCAAACATTGAAGCATCCACTGATCTATACACCCAACTCCATCCATTCTTTGGGAGACGGAAAACTACTAGTAACCAACGACCACTACATCGGGTCCCTCATCTCTCCGCTCATTTCGCAGGTCGAGACGTTTGCTGGAATTCCTGGGGGTAGTGTCGTATATACCGACATCCACAACCCCTCGCACACAAAGACGTTGGTCCGTGTACCTTTCGCCAACGGTATTGCTATGCTCAACTCGACGACCGTAGCTGTTGCCTCATCAGCGAAAATGGGAGTGAACTTCTACACTTTCAGTCCTGACACGATCAAGTTACATTTCCGAAAGTTCATTCGCGCTCCATCGAGCGTCGATAACCTTTCTGTCGACGCTTCTGGCAAGCTTCTTATGGCCGGCCATCCCTTTGCGCCAGGACTTATGAAAGTAAGCAAAGCTAGGGCGAAGTGCAATATTCAGGGATCAGAAGATGAGAAGCAGGCTTGCGAATGTACGGCGGCTAGCTTTGTGGCTGAGTGGAGCGAAACTGGAGGACTGAAAACGTTGTATAAGAACAACGGACAGGAGTTCTGCAGCAGTAGTACTTTTGCTCGGGATGTGGGAAGAGGTGTGGGTATCATCACAGGGTTGTACGATAGAGGCATCTTGGTGTCAAAGGACGATCCAACCACTGTGCAGTGAGGCTCAGAGATGGCTACATGTAGTAGATCTGTTGATGCGACGTGAAAATCTATCTAAGAAGTTACTGTATAGGCAACGAATAAACAAACCGACGTTGAAAGCTCTGATATAATGCTCATCCAACCCAGTGTGCTTTTGTCGCTCACTGCAGCTCCCTGAGCATTCTGTTCACATTCTTCTTCTTGTTTGGCTTCTTGTCCTCTGTCTTGTGCGCTATCCCAGTAGTTTCATCCTCTCTAGTAGTCTCATATTTCCTCTTGTGGTTGACTTTCAGCTTTACCACTAAACTCAGCCGCTTGCAGCTCTCGTCTTGCTCGCTAGTCCATGGAACATACGTCCATCGCCTCGCCGGACCCTGCTGATTTAGGGAATTACTAACAGCGTCATACCCCGAATCACCCCCATTCTCCGTTTTGCCGTCGGAAAGCGTCCACTTGATATGATGCTTGGGCATCTCATCTTTGCGCTCTATTGTTAGCGCACCATCAGAATGCACAACGACAACTTGGACATCCTCTGGAAATTCCGCGTCATGATCGGTAGAACGGAACTTGGACGGTAGATGGGTTGTGTGTGTTGAAGGGTCAAGGATGTAGTGCCCACAACCTCTAGGTTGTGGTTCCGGATAAAGTGGATACGACGGCGGAGCTACACTCTGTCAGTGTTGTGCTTTCGTACCGCCTGATCGCGATCATATTACCACAAAGCGCTCCCTTTTCAGTACGCGGTAGTCCCAGGCGCATGAGGCCAACCTGATCTTCTGACAAGAAGTCTAGTGGCACTCCATACAACTCGCAATATCGATCCCAATGGTCCCAGGTTTCGATGTAGATCGGTGGTCGATCACCTTGTTGCCTCATGCGTCGAGTGTAGTAATCTTTGCTTTGCGGTACACTACTCGGAAGCTTCTCGGTCACTACATCTGGCGGATTGTGAAGTGTCCAGAACGAGTCGTTGAAGGGAACTTGTTTGAACCACGACGGGCGCCAATGCAGTGTCGAGTTGTCGTTCAAGCTTGTAAGAACCAGTAGATCTTGCTGATGACGTTTGAGTAACAAATCGGCCTCTACTTCATCTTGTGTAGGATTCTTGGATGCCTGGCATCCCGATGTCTTAGGTGTTGGGGTCAGTGATACAGATGGTAAGCTAGTGGGAGTTGCGAGACCGTCTGTGGCAGTGGTAGGCGAGTATCTCAACGCTTGTGTTTCCGGGGTGTCGGGACCCGAATGTGGTGGTGTGTCGCGATTCTGCATGTTCGCAAAATTCCTACCCAACATCGAGATATGAGACTGTCGTACCAAGACTGTCGGGTTCTTGACGCGAATTAATAGCCGGATTGTGAGTAGTGTCGGTGAGTGGTGAGTTCCCTAGTGCGCATACACCTCCATTGCTGTTTGTTTAGATCTAAGCGTCACAACCACGGGCACTCGCATGTTGTAATCACCCGACAAAGAATTGAACAGTCGACAAACATTTTTATACTGATTGGCTCTCATGCTATGGTTAAACTATCTATAGCTTCAAAGCACCATGAGTGGTAAGTCTCACCGACTCAAACCCTGCACAGCCTTCCATTTTGGGTTTGAACACCCTGCTCTCCATCTTTAACTACCCATCGCTCACTTCCAACAGCAGTGGTCGCGTAGAAAACATCAGTAGGGTCCCATTTCCTCTTTATCTGACTCAACTTCGGGTAGTAACCTCCATAGAACGACTCTTGCCAGTCGGGCTCTTCGACGCTGGCTTCGTTGAGATATGTGCCACCACCCTCGGACACTGGTGAGATATCGCGCCAGGGCTGGAGGATGTTTTCCTGTAGATCTTTGTTCGCGAGTTTGAGTGCCTCAGGTGTGGAGTGATCCATCGACTTGTTCGATGAGGTAACCATGAACATGCCGCATTCGCGCCATGCTGGGCTAATGGCGTTGTTGGTATTTGCGTACTTAACAGGAGTCTTGTGGTAGCCAAGGAGATGTTTACCAGCAGAGACATGTTCCTTGATCAGTGCATAAGTCTCATTGAACTTTTCCTGGAAGTTGCGTCGAGGGACGATGCGATTCGCCGGAAGCGAGTTATCCAGACCGATAGGGAAGCTGTTAGAGCCCCAAGCTGCCTGGTAAGCGGAGTAGAAGTTGGTGTGTGCTACGCTTGTATGAGGTTTCGTAAGCGTGATGTTGTTCGCGTCTAGGTAATCGAAAAATGGCTTTACAACCTTGTCGTATGATTCCGCAGTATGGTTTGCTGCGAAAAGGTACGCCATGCTGAGGAATGGTTGAGGTTGGTTGCCCATAATGAAGAAGCTGTATATGCCTGACTCTGCCCAGTCGAGGAAGACTTCATAGAACTTCTTAGTACCCTTCCAGAAGTCTTCAAGGCTATTGTTCGAAGCATCGAGATACCAGCCTGCAGTAACGACGTTTATCTTGGGGTGCACGCGAACGATGACCGATACGACGACGGCGAAAGTACCGCCACCGCCACCTCGAAGCGCCCAGAACAAGTCAGGGTTCGAAGCTTCGGATACAGTGATGAAGCGACCATTAGCTGTTACAACCTGAAATGCGACAACATGGTCGGCTGACATCCCGTAAACACCGGCAAGAGGATTTTGCCCACCACCAGTGATCATACCACCAGCCCACCCAACGCTCTGGTGTATGTCAGTCATCTTGATCAGGCATGATATCCTCAGCATTACTTACCCATGAAACGGCACCGAGAACAGTAACATCGTATTTGTCTGCAGCTTCATAGATTTGCCTAACGGTAACTCCAGCAGCAACCTTGAAAGCCGGTCCAGAATAGCCCGGACCTTTGTAGTTGGGGAGATAGTCGATTTGGTCCATGTTGTGCATCCATAAACTCAATGCTCCGGCACCAGTGGACTTTCCCAGATAGCAATGACCAGTGTTCTTGATGACTAGACGAAGGTTGGTCGCTCTTGCGAAATTGATGGCAAGCTGAATCTGCGCCACGTTGGTGACTTTGATTGCGTACTCAGGATATCCGCCCAGTGTGCACGATTTGCCGTCAGTGTCATTCTTAGGCATACATGTCCTACCCTGAAAGATGGGCCACATATCTAGACAGACAGTGTTACTAGACGGCTTATTTAAGCTTTGTAGAAGGGAATCACTCACTTGATGTAGGATCTGCATGATGGAATAGCGGATCCGTGAATTTGTTGGCAACTTCCGTACACTTTGCACCGTCTTTCTTTCCCCATTTCGAATCGTAGCATGAGGCAGCAATAGGCTTAGTTGGGATGAGTGCCCCGCCTAAAAGGACGTTGAAAATGTCCCAGACAATTTCCTTGGGCCACGCCAAGTCTCCAGGAAACGTCTTGCAAGATGCTGAAGCTGCGCGTCGTACACGCGCATCACTAGCAGCGGTGCTGTCGTCGAACGCGAAGTATTCCGCATACTCGGAAACACCCTGCTCGGTTACGAGCCGCTCAACGACGGCATCCGTCAACTGTAGGGTCTCTGCTTCTTGAAGAGGTGCGCCTGCTACTGGAGTGGCTGGGACGAAAGCAGCTGCAGGTTCGACATCAGGGATTGAGGAGGATTGGCCAAGGACAGCCCCCGGAGAAATAATCAAGAAGAAGCACGTGGCTAGCCGCTGCATGGGTGCCATAGTGAGGCCAAGACGTGGAGAAGAAGACGAGGCAGATAAAAAGCACCAACGGAGCTTCGTCTTTTTATCTCATCCCTTTAGCCGTCCGGTAAGCATACTTTTGAGGATCTCTCACACGCTTCATGTGCATGATTCATGTGCAAGCGTTCTAGATGTTGCCACGGACTGCGATTAGCCATTGAGTGTCGAGTGGGGGATTAGTAGCGAAGGGATGTAGATGGTCTTACGCAAGGGACTGCATACAGCAGCCGGGCCTGATGGATCCGTGAGCAGATCGTCTCCTTGCCTTCAAAATCTATCATGGCTCAGTTTTGTTCTATCCACGCCAGAAAATGCAAAGATACTGCGGATTCGCGGCAGTTGTAAGCCAATTGAAACTTTCTAAACCCTGTACCAGCAGGAAGCAGCTCAATCTCTGCATGTTCCTGTAGGATGCTAGTTATGCCAAATTTACGAGTCGGACATGTAGGCCAATGGGGCAAGTTCATCTGTTCAGAAGCATTAGTAGCTTGGCGTTTGAAGGATGGAAGAGTATCAGACTTGTTCAGCTGTAGGATTGCGGCACAGTCCTCGTTTACGTTTCTCTTCCCGCCACTCAGATCCAAAACATCGATTTGCCAAGGACTACTTGAGAAACAAATTTCTTACTATCGTTATCTCACATCGGGATTATATGGAACGAGAAAGGTATTACATAGTCAGTCGTAGCTTGATGTTGAGAGTAGGCGACTGAAGACAGAGCCTACCTAGGTAGCGTGCGGCACGGTTCAGGCTCGGCCCACGAGCCGCCCGCACTTCCAAGCCGCGAACGCCAATAGCTTGGTAGTGGACCCTCTCTGCTCCACTGCACGAATCAACCAGCTCAAGTCTCGTCACATCCTACATGCAGAATCCTACTTGGCCCTTCCAATTAGTGAGAGATCATCAACAACACCTGCTGAAAAAACCATGCTTGAAACAAGCTCCGTCAACAACTTCCGTCTCGAGATCCGTCGCACAACCTTGAAAGTCCTGGGGAAATGGGCATATGAAAGTCCCATTCTAACGTTACGAACAATGAGAAGTACCTTGTTGACGCCAAAGTCTGTGCGATCTATGCCCGCATAAGTTATTCATCCTGCTGGCAGTGTTGATCAGATGAACGAATGCAAGGGTTGAGGATGGATTCTCTGAGCCGTCTGCGGCTCGGGGCATCCGGAACAATACCAAGACAGCTCATTCGATCAACAGCTTTGTTCGTGGTAGAGGCACCGATAAACGTGACGAGGTGTTTGGCGGGAGGCAGAACGAGAGCTGACGTGGAAGCCATCTCGAGGATCTTGATTACATTAGTATATAGATTCTAGTAGGTTTGGGGGGCGAAT